AACATTTGCTTGGGAGGTTTTGGGTGAATTTTTCTCAGGGGATTCCTGAACTACCCAGGCGAGATTGATGGATTCTCATCAGTGACAAAAATAGGATCACCGTATGTTTGTATCTTATTTAAACACACCTTTTTCTTTTGTGTTTCAAAATCTACCTAACCGAGAGCTCCTACAACTGAGATGGGGGATGAAGAGTGACAGGTTGTTTTAAAGCCAGATTTTCATGATGAGAGTGTGTCATGTGTGGGTGCTCATGAAGAACCAGACCAAACTCAGAGGCACGACTCCAAGAAGTTTATCTCGACTTTTTTTAATTCTTCATATTATTCCACCTTTTTTAGTAGTCGTGATGCAATAGCAGTGGTAAGGAAATGAAGTTCAAGGAAGGAAAAAGAAGGCTGCTTCTAGCAGTTGTATTTTGAAATAAGGGAATTGAGGAACCGTGGGTCATTGTAAATAACAACACGTGATTATATAACCACTGCTGAATTTGTAGGATAAATGAGCCAAGAAATAATATTTGCAGTACAGTCTCTTCTCCATGCCCTTTCCTGACTTTCATGAAAACAGGAAGGAGCTTTAGGAGGGAAGGGAAGGATAAGAGGATATCTTTAGCTGCCATTTCTTTTTCCCTCCAAGCTAATTTTATGTTCTACTCCAAAAAGCAACATCCAGGAGCTGCATTATTGGTACTTTTATGTCTGAGTACTTCTGCTTTTTTGTGTTCTAAATAAGAGATAGTTACAGTTTTGGGTATAAACAATACTTTAAACGTGCATTTTGTTTTATGCTTTTTATAACATTTTTCCAACTTAATTGATGGGAACCTTATCTCATTTTTCTGGGGTGGGTTGTGGAGGAGCAGGCAGCTAAGTATTGGTTCACAAATTGGAATATCGGCAACATCACCAATGTGTGGTGCAGATTATCTGCATGATAATCTGGAAAGATATGTGATCATACAGGTTTCTAAAGATCCCAATCCTTTATTTTTTTGGAAGAATAGAGATGTTCCCGTCACCCATATATCATTAATGCAGATTTGCCCTGTCATTTTGGGAGAGTCATTTCTGCTGGCTCTTCAAGTTTCTTGCTGGACGTTTGGATTGTAAAAGCTACTAACCTAAATAATTGTGGGATGATGGAAAAGGATGTGGTTTATAGTCTTACTTTGAGGAGAAGAGATAATATATCTGTGTGTGTTAATTTTTTAACACATATTTTACTTAACTTTTTCTTGGAGAAAGAGGGATTTATGCCTTATTTAAGGTTTCGTGAATATTGGACCAAATATTTCAAATGATTTCATGGATATTTATAGGGAGTGCATTTTCATTTTTTGGGAGATAGGCTTTTATGGAACATTCTGTGAAACATTAAAATAATCACATTTCAGTAAAGCCAGTGTTTTTAGTCTTTATTATGAATGTTCAAACTACAGAAGAGCAAACTTTTGAACTGTCAAGCTCATACTTTGTAATTGCTGAACCAGTGAAATTTTAAGTTTTATATTTTAAACTTTGTGGTTACAGTGTATTTTTAAAACATTTTAGTGTACAGTGTAAAGCATTTTAGTAGGTCTTAAGTGCCTGAGTTTGGCTGTTGAGAACCTGCAGTGCCAGACGATCATTGCTTTAGTCCACCTAAATATGTGTTGCTGCCAACAAGGGGCTGTTGCACCTCGTTCCCGCACCTGCTCCTGACCTTTTCCTGGCGCTGCTGTGACTGAGGAGCAGTCGTGGAGCGATCCAGCTTCGTTTCCTGGCTCAGTTCACTAGAGCCAGTGCCAGTGCTGGCACGAGGGGGAGGGCACTGCCAGCGGTCACTTGCACTTAGACTGTCTTAAAACAGTCACAAAAGTTTGGCCTGCCTTGTGGTTTTAGCAGAAGCAGGGGATGAAGGAATCCTTCTGCAGCATGTTTTGGGGCAAAATATTCTCTCCCCATAATCATGGAAAGCTGCTGCTGCTGCCTGCACTCATTGACCGTTGATTATATAGTCACCCAGGACTGAGCGACACCTTTTTATGTTAACTTCCTATGCTTTCTAGTGCCTCACTTCTGTAGGGTTGCTAGAACTGCTCCAAATGTGCATGTATGCATACATTTTCTTTCCTTTGTACTTCTGGGCATTGAATACTTTTTGCACTTGCGGAAGATCACATTGGTTAAGTGGCAGGGTAGTTGAAAACTAAAAAGTGATTATATTTTCTGAGAGTTGTTTTCCTCCAGATTTAAAACGTTTATAGAAAAAATAATTTCAATATTGATACTGTCTTCACAGTTTCTTCCCAGTATTGGGAAATTATGGAAATAAGAAGTCACTTTTCCAAATTCTCTTATGCCTTATTTAAAAAAAAGAGCATATGAGAATTGTAGAATGGCACCTGAAGAGGGATAGTCTGAGAAAAGCCTTAATGAGGGCAGAGTTGCGTTGTGTACTATTAAAGAGGAATGCAAAGTAGGCATTATTTGTCTACAGAATTTATTTAATAACTGGCCTTCTGAGGATTTAGGTAATGCCCGTGCAGGTTAAGCTTAGCCCAGACTTCCTGTAATGATAAGCTATTATATGTTTCTAGCTTAAAGTCTTAACATTTTGTCAATATTTTGGTATGGTTTTCTTTAACTTATACGTTGATAATAAATGGATTAAAGCATTCATAATAACGCTTTGAAGTACAAATAAGTAATTGTTGCTAACAAGGACAGGTGCTTTCCGTAAAAACGAAAATGTAGCTCTGGGGTTGATACGCACTTCTGTATATGGTTAACTTTGAACGTGAGAAATCCACTTTCTTTCTCCCTAAGATCTCTCTTAGTTTTTCAAGGTTGTCTTATTTTGAAAATTATGTCAATTTAATCAAGATAATTTCTAGAGTTCAGAAAGTTTTCTCATTCCTTTGTTGTTTATTTTTATGTCCTGTGGTCTTGGTTTTGATTTTTATTATTAAACACGAATTTATATTGCATAAATAAATCATACCTTTTTGAAGCCAAGACTTAAAACGTGTATTTAGTCTCGTCAGTGTCCAAAATGCATTTTAACTCACTGTTTCAGCAATTCCCAAACCGTGGTCTGGAGACTGCTGGTTGTTTGCAGCTGTTCTGTGGAACAAGTTGCCTTTGGCAGCTGAATGAGAGTCAGTCTCTTGTGAAAGGAGAAGATGGTAGATTAGACCTGTAGAACAATACCGAGTACACTCACTCCAGTTCACTGCTTTGATCTTGGGATTTATAGCTCATGAAATTTTTAGCTGAAAAAAAACCCTTTAGTCTTACTATAAATATAGTGCTAAATCCAGCAATTAATATTCCCAACATCTTTAAAAATCTTAGCAAAGAATTAATCTGTGCTCATTATTGTAATGCAGTCTCTGACACTTGTGACTATCGGTACATTTATGTTCCTTTGTTTAAATAAAAAATAGAATGTACAGAAGTCATAAGATCTGAGATTCTTATTTCTTTTATTTATTTACCTTTGTCAAAATAGGTCTCTGTCCATAAAGACTTTTTAGCTTTTGTACAGTTTTTCTTATTGAAAAGCAATTTGTATTTTCTATTAAGCAGACTTGCTATGGAAACTAATATCATTGTATTTACAATGGCTTATTTCCCCACTTGAATTATTTTATATTAAAAATGTAAATGAAAGCTGCTAGGTAATTAACTGATGCAAATAGGATTCAGAATATTTGTTAGCTCTCCAAAGGAGCTCTCTGGAAATCACAACAGCTGCAAGCATGAGCACTTGGATGTTTTCCTCCTGTCAAGAAGAATGAGAAGTAGAGCTCATGCAGTCTTTGAATGCTTGTTAGACAAAAATATTCCCAAAGTAAAAAAAAAATACCTGCAATTGAGAGGCATACCCTCTTTAGCGCAGTACCTGCATCTTTTCAAATGGCTTGATTCCATTTATCACAAAATAGTCTTTTTATTTTTTTTTTGCATTCTGTGCAAATGTAGTAATGCAGAACTAATTCCCTTCAAATTCCAACATTGCTTTATTTAAAAATAAATAAGTAAACAATCATGCACGGCTTCTCAGGCTGCCTTAGCTTGGACTATGGTAAACACGTTTTCTTATCAGAATATTACCTAGAAAGGATTACTTTATCCAGTGTACCTTTTTTCCCACTGTCCTCTTTGTTGGATTGTGGACATGTCGAAGGCTTTATTTAAGCACGTGGTAAGTGCTGTTGTAGTTCTGTCCCTTTTTCCCTAAAATATTTACTGTAGCGTTGATCTTTTACTTCTAGGACTGTGGAGCTGGGTCTCAGTTGACGTCAGCATTGTCTTCTAAATTCCTCTTCCCATAGACATCACAGTACCTGCGTCACTCTCTGTTCACCTGATCTAATTTGCAGTTCTAGATAAAGCTTCAGATTTTCTCTTAACAATTGAGATAGTCAGCAAGTGTATCTGTCTCCTTATGTGTGATTTCCAGGAGCCCTGAACATGGGTGGAAAAAGGCCCATTCTTTAGAATTACTACAGGTTTCACTGAATAAAAGGGAAATTCTCCACTGAGTTTAATCAAGTTAAGATTTTACAGAAAGTGTTAAGTAAGGATTTTGTGGTGCATTGTTTCTGCACAAGCCACCATAGATAATTGCCATTCAATTTACCACAGTTTTCCTGTTTATCATGGTCTGAAATGCCAAGTATGACAAAAACGCTGGAGGGCAGTTCCTCTTACGGCAAACAGCTTTGCACTGCGATGAGTTTATATGACGAAGGAATCTGATGTGAAGTCTGTTGAAAGATAACAGCCGCTGATTTCAGAATTGAGGTGTTTTATTTATATGAGCTTAAAATGACCTGAAAATTTACCACCCGCAAAGTGATTAGTTATAATTAGCATGCAACTTCTAGACTGGAAAAGGTAGCTGCAGTTAAGGATCATCAGAGAATTCTTTTGTAAAATTATTTTTGTCTTCTATCCCAGCATTTAATTTCAGCTGCTCTGAGGTGATAGCTGGGTTTTTAAAAAGATGTACTTAGACTTTCTTGCAAATTTAATTTTGAGGTTTTTGTTCTATACAAGGCTCCACATATGCTAATTCTTTGTAGAAGATTATTATATTAAAGTGTTTGTTTATTTTATAGTACTACACTCTTGAATAGTAGGTAGTGCAGTGGATTGGCATCTTTTATTCTGGAGTCACAAATGGTATTGCAACATCTTTCTAACAGCAGAAATTGGACCTCTATCATTTTGTAGGTCGCAGGAACGTTTTAGAGAGACGTGGTAGAAGCAACAGGACTATTTGCAGAAACTTAGGCAAGATGTTGTTACAATAAGTTAGATGCGGTTACTACTGTTGATTGCTTGGATTCCTGTGTGTTTCAGATATTGTCACTGCGTCTTTAAAAGGCAGCAGAGCTCTGTTTTAACTTTTTTTTGTATCTGAATTCTAATCTTAATGTAACACTTTAAAGGTGATGACACATGCGAGTATCTTCTGTCCAGTGGGAGATTTCTTGGAGAAAAAGTGTGGCAGCCCCACAGTTGTATGATGCACAAGTATAAAAATAGGTAAGGAAATTCTTATCTTTAGATTCTCATTTGCCTGGAAAGAAGACTGATGGTTGTTGGACCACAGTTTTAGTTACTGTAGTCTTATATTTTTCGCTTTATAGCTGATTCCCTAGAATTTCACCTAGATTTGAGAATTTCAAATTATACCATTTATCAGAAGAAAGCCTTTCCGTTGTAGTTTATCTGTGTATCTACAACGCCTACCATAGTCGAGTTTATTTGTTAAAATACAAATAAATGTTAGTGGTAGTGTTTTGGAGAACCACACGGTACTGCAGAACTTTGTATGTCGCTCTCGTATTGTTGAGGGAGGATACCATGATTATTTTTAGAATCTCAAGTAACTGAATGTGTAGTAAAAGTAATTATCTCCTGAAGAATTGCAGCAAACAATATTCAATAAAATTACCAGTCACCTTTTTTAATTAATACTAGTAAGAGAACTTTATTTTTCAAAATTATGCTGTGTATTACCATTTTGAAACTGCTTTGTTTCTAGCATCACATAATAGGAAAGCCAGTTCTAATCACATTAGCAGGAGAGTTCATTTTCATTTGTATTTCATTGGTGTATTTTAAAGTGCATATGCCATTCCTTAGAGCTGGAGATAGTGCTTAACATTGTCTATATTGCTCTATAGATTTTTCCCAAGACTTTTCCCTAAAATAGCATAAATTTCCCATAACATGCATGTTGCTGTTTTGTTTTTACAGTGAAGCAAAAAATTGCCTCATAGACAAACATATTGCATTTGTAGGAGATTCTAGAATTCGACAGCTGTTTTATTCATTTATAAAACTCATAAATCCTCAAGTCAAAGAAGAAGGAAATAAGGTAAGAGGGTTCTTGTTGTTATTGTTTGTTTCTTTCCTCCCTGCTTCAAAAAGGCAAGAAATTACACTACTTGCAGCCTAGGAATCAGGAAGAAGAACGATAAAAAGGTATTTTGGAGAAGAACAGGATTAGGCCAAGAAAATTTTGGGGGTATTAATGAGACGATTGGCAGTCTGAGAAGTGAACTGGGAAGCTTGAGAGAAAGCTTGCGGCAGTCTGGGAGTGAATTAATGAAGTTGACTTGTCCCACTGCAGCTTGTGCTTCATATTTGGCTTCTTGATGAGAAAATGATTGTTCCACAGTGTGTATTTAACTAGTAGTAATTCATAGGTTATAATTTGTCATTTTATATGTCAGTTAAATTGCTGATCTAATCTGTTCATAAAAATCCGTGGGGCACTGAGTGATTTCCAGGTCTAACTTGAGGCTGAAACTAAAAATAGCTTCTGGTCTTAGCTTTGTATTTTACAGCTGCTGAAGAGCAGTTTGAATTTCATAAAGTGAACAGTGTGAACTACAGCTTGGTGGTTGGAAGCAGTAAGAAAGTATTTAGTTATGCATTTTGTGGAACAGAATGTTAATTTCTTCTGATATATCATGCTGCTTAGGTTTATCACTGTGGATGTATGTACATATGCAAGGGAAAAGACACATTTCACTTTCAACTTTAGATTAGATCTGCCAGTTAGTACTTCTGTGGTTTAAAAGTGCAAGCTGGCAATTTGTCTGACAGGCAGCGTGCAGTCACTTTTCACTTGACAAAAAAGACGTTTCTTTGATTGAATAGCTCTTTCTCCTAGTCTGTTGGTTAGATCAAAGTTGCTGCCGAGAAGTGGGAGTTAAGCGGCTTTGAGGTGATAGAGTGGTGTAACTGATTTCAAGTTGAGAGGTATCTTCTGTCACGTATTTAAAGAATCAAGATTTCAGTTTGTGAGAGAGAAATATACTTGTCCTTTTGGACCAGGTTTGAAACTAGGGTTACATATAGTCATATGATATTAAAGAAGGGTTGTATCTGTGGTTTAGGATATCTGACTGCTTCCATTTTAATTTCTTACAATCTTTTCACTCAGCAAACCGAAGGATACATTCCAGACTTTATTTTTACCTGAAATGATTTTCTTTTATTCTTTAATCAAAACTGCTTCAGCTGTTGTTTACAAATAATGTAGGCATATGAAAAGGAAAGCTAGGGCAAGGAAGTGTACGAAAGGTAAGACAGAAGGAAAAGGTCCCAGTTTTTTTCATTTTGGGCAGAAAAAATAGGAAAATATTTAGCGATACCTTTGTAACGGAGTGAACAGAAAGCATTTCAGACTTTGATGGATATAATTCTACTAGGAAAAATGCCTTCTCAGAGAGCAGTGTGTTTTATCAAGAAAGTAACATCAGCGATTTGCATGGATATACTGACAAGTCTATGCAAGAAAAATCCTTTCTAGCAAAGATGAATATTTAGGTGAGGGCAAATTTTTTCTTCTGAAAGATTGTTTCTTGGTTTTTAATTGTTCTGCATTTTTTAACAGCATGGAAACATTCCTTTTGAAGATAAATCTGCTTCAATTAAAGTGGTAAGTTTTTATCTGGCATTAAGTACAAGCCATAATAATAGATATATAACTGTATACAATGTAATCCAAATTGCAGTCAGAGCTGGATTTTTCGAATTTCCACAAATGTTGTAGTAGACATGAGAAGAGTTAGAGGATCAATATCCTTTATAAATCTTCAACAAAATATGTGAAACTGTGTCTTAATGTATTATATTTTGAATAGGACTCTTTGAGAGACTTTGGCTTTGACTACTTGTATTCTCTGATAGCTTTTGACTCGAGCTCTAGAAGTACTGTGTAAAATTTCTTTTTTCATCAAAACTTATAATTTGGCCTTCCCAAGAATAGCTTTGGATGGGAAGTTTACTCTTTCACAGCTGCAGGAACATGTATCTGGGGTAGTAATTGCTATAATTGCCATCGAACTCCCTGTGCTATCCCAGCAAGTATTGTTTCCACTGGTATTGCATAAAGAAATAACCACAATGTTGATATAATGCAGCTATTAAAAAAAAAAAAAAAGAAAAAAAGCCAAAAAAAGGCATGGGGGACTCTGTTCTGCTTTGCCACAGTAATTACAATGGTGTCCTCAGTAGCTTTCTTTGCTTCCCATACCGGCTGTTAGCAGTGCTAGGACTCTTCTAGTCATATATTTGTTTATCTGTTGGAGACAATTCGTTCTCTGTTCATGAAAACCAAAGAAGCAATGTACTCAGTTGTCTGTGAGTGAGTTTTGAGTACCTGTTTGTGCACATGGTGAAGATTTAGGCTGCTGAATAAGATTTTAGGGTGTGATCCTGTGGCAGTTGAAGCCTACTGAGCTTTTGTCTCACTCTTCTGCCCTGAACAGTATGTTCCTGTGTTGCGCTGTAACTAGTCCTGTAGTTAGAGTGGGCTGGTTTAGGAGTTGATCCAGCTGAAAATTTATCTAATCACATTCATTTTCAGTCAGATCTGATGAGATTAATCATGTGAGTATCTGAGTGCTGAAAAGGAGAGGACGTAATACAAGGTAGGAGGAAGAGGTGGAAGTCCAGATTTATATTGACTTAGCCTGACTCAGCTCTGTATCTTTTTAAACTCTTTAGGCCTGTGTAGGTGTCTGACTACCAGGGTTTGAGATGGCAGGTTTGGGCTTCTGGGAGATGTCATGGAACAGGAAAGTAGGGATATATTTTTAATTACCAAGAACCAAGACTAAGCTTCCTCTTATTTGACTCCATATCACTGTTGATGTTATTGGCTGAGTTTTCACATTCGGAATGGCTGCAACCCAGTAATCTGAACGTGGAAAATGCTTGACCAACAAAGGAGAGAATCACTGAGGAGCAAGTAGACAGCTCAGTTTTGTCCTTTCTGTTCATAATACTGACCCCTCTGTCCTCCAGACAATGCAGATGGCTGCTGGATCTCACATAGATTCCTACGAAGTAATGAATTGAGAGTATGTCTAAAGTGAACTATCAAAATCTTTAGGTCTGTGTAGGTGGAAGACAGAGATGGTTCCTTTCTGTTGGAAGTATTTCCGCATTCTGTGTTATAAAGTTTCCTTACAGTTACTTTTCTATATGAAATCCTTTCCATTTTGCTTGAATGTGCTTTTGTAGTCTTTTTGGTACTTAGGCACCTGAGGTAGTAGCTAGGTGCTGTGTGGTCTTCTGGCTTTACCTGGGAGACATAATAACACTAGCCAAAATGTAGATTGTCTTCCTAGCTGAAGGTTGTAGATTAATCGCAACATCTGAAAAAATGAGAGTCAGTAGGTAATGCATTAAATGTCCAAAACAAAAAGCAAATTGGAATAAATAAATTAGATGCAAACTAGTTTTTACCCTGATAGTATTGGAGAACAGGACATCACACTTGGCAGAAGTCAGAGTCACCTTTTCAGTGAAAACCTGGCTCCTGAAATGCAAATTAAAATTTTCTTTTCTTTCTCTTTTCTTTCTCTTTTCTTTCTCTGTTCTTTCTATTTTCTTTCTCCTTTCTTTCCCTTTTCTTTCTCTTTTCTTTCTCTGTTCTTTCTATTTTCTTTCTCCTTTCTTTCCCTTTTCTTTCTCTTTTCTTTCTCTGTTCTTTCTATTTTCTTTCTCCTTTCTTTCCCTTTTCTTTCTCTTTTCTTTCTCTGTTCTTTCTATTTTCTTTCTCCTTTCTTTCCCTTTTCTTTCTCTTTTCTTTCTCTGTTCTTTCTATTTTCTTTCTCCTTTCTTTCCCTTTTCTTTCTCTTTTCTTTCTCTGTTCTTTCTATTTTCTTTCTCCTTTCTTTCCCTTTTCTTTCTCTTTTCTTTCTCTGTTCTTTCTATTTTCTTTCTCCTTTCTTTCCCTTTTCTTTCTCTTTTCTTTCTCTGTTCTTTCTATTTTCTTTCTCCTTTCTTTCCCTTTTCTTTCTCTTTTCTTTCTCTGTTCTTTCTATTTTCTTTCTCCTTTCTTTCCCTTTTCTTTCTCTTTTCTTTCTCTGTTCTTTCTATTTTCTTTCTCCTTTCTTTCCCTTTTCTTTCTCTTTTCTTTCTCTGTTCTTTCTATTTTCTTTCTCCTTTCTTTCCCTTTTCTTTCTCTTTTCTTTCTCTGTTCTTTCTATTTTCTTTCTCCTTTCTTTCCCTTTTCTTTCTCTTTTCTTTCTCTGTTCTTTCTATTTTCTTTCTCCTTTCTTTCCCTTTTCTTTCTCTTTTCTTTCTCTGTTCTTTCTATTTTCTTTCTCCTTTCTTTCCCTTTTCTTTCTCTTTTCTTTCTCTGTTCTTTCTATTTTCTTTCTCCTTTCTTTCCCTTTTCTTTCTCTTTTCTTTCTCTGTTCTTTCTATTTTCTTTCTCCTTTCTTTCCCTTTTCTTTCTCTTTTCTTTCTCTGTTCTTTCTATTTTCTTTCTCCTTTCTTTCCCTTTTCTTTCTCTTTTCTTTCTCTGTTCTTTCTATTTTCTTTCTCCTTTCTTTCCCTTTTCTTTCTCTTTTCTTTCTCTGTTCTTTCTATTTTCTTTCTCCTTTCTTTCCCTTTTCTTTCTCTTTTCTTTCTCTGTTCTTTCTATTTTCTTTCTCCTTTCTTTCCCTTTTCTTTCTCTTTTCTTTCTCTGTTCTTTCTATTTTCTTTCTCCTTTCTTTCCCTTTTCTTTCTCTTTTCTTTCTCTGTTCTTTCTATTTTCTTTCTCCTTTCTTTCCCTTTTCTTTCTCTTTTCTTTCTCTGTTCTTTCTATTTTCTTTCTCCTTTCTTTCCCTTTTCTTTCTCTTTTCTTTCTCTGTTCTTTCTATTTTCTTTCTCCTTTCTTTCCCTTTTCTTTCTCTTTTCTTTCTCTGTTCTTTCTATTTTCTTTCTCCTTTCTTTCCCTTTTCTTTCTCTTTTCTTTCTCTGTTCTTTCTATTTTCTTTCTCCTTTCTTTCCCTTTTCTTTCTCTTTTCTTTCTCTGTTCTTTCTATTTTCTTTCTCCTTTCTTTCCCTTTTCTTTCTCTTTTCTTTCTCTGTTCTTTCTATTTTCTTTCTCCTTTCTTTCCCTTTTCTTTCTCTTTTCTTTCTCTGTTCTTTCTATTTTCTTTCTCCTTTCTTTCCCTTTTCTTTCTCTTTTCTTTCTCTGTTCTTTCTATTTTCTTTCTCCTTTCTTTCCCTTTTCTTTCTCTTTTCTTTCTCTGTTCTTTCTATTTTCTTTCTCCTTTCTTTCCCTTTTCTTTCTCTTTTCTTTCTCTGTTCTTTCTATTTTCTTTCTCCTTTCTTTCCCTTTTCTTTCTCTTTTCTTTCTCTGTTCTTTCTATTTTCTTTCTCCTTTCTTTCCCTTTTCTTTCTCTTTTCTTTCTCTGTTCTTTCTATTTTCTTTCTCCTTTCTTTCCCTTTTCTTTCTCTTTTCTTTCTCTGTTCTTTCTATTTTCTTTCTCCTTTCTTTCCCTTTTCTTTCTCTTTTCTTTCTCTGTTCTTTCTATTTTCTTTCTCCTTTCTTTCCCTTTTCTTTCTCTTTTCTTTCTCTGTTCTTTCTATTTTCTTTCTCCTTTCTTTCCCTTTTCTTTCTCTTTTCTTTCTCTGTTCTTTCTATTTTCTTTCTCCTTTCTTTCCCTTTTCTTTCTCTTTTCTTTCTCTTTTCTTTCTCTTTCGAAATCTTACTGTGGGCCATGTAATTTTCCTTCACAGTTTAATTGCTTGTAGTTAGTTCAGTTTTCTGAATTTTTGTTATTAGTCTACTGCTTATCTTAATGCTTACAAAGTATATCTGCATTTGTTTTACAGGATTTCCTGTGGTATCCAGAAGTTAATGGTTCTATGAGACAACGTATCAAATCTTGGACTGAGGTTTGTTTTGAAAATACATTTGCTTTAGGAAAATATAGCAGCTAACTGAGTTCAAGCCTTTGTTCAACAACAGCAGTAAATCACATGTATTCACTGAGTTCCGTACCAGAGATCTGAAAGTTGACAGAAAAATAGAGAAGGGGGAGTGTTTCCTGGCATATATGTTTCTGGGCTTTTCCAGGTCTCTGAAGGGTGACTGCATCTGGACAAAAAAAGATTTAAAAAAAAAAAAAACACAACCCTATTTCCTAGGAGCAGTTTGATCCATCCTATTAGGAGCTGAAAGGATTTTGCTCTGATTTGGCAAACCTCTTACTCTGTCTCAGTTATGGCTCTACTTTTAGGGGAGGAGAAATTTTTATATTCATGTTGCGTGATCTAAGCTGAAGAACAAAAGCAATTTGGAAAGTGTGTAGAGTGCTTTGATTTTTCCATATTACTCTGAAATTATATACTAGTTATTTTATATGACTATTTAACTTATGATATAGGTGGTCGTGTTTTTCAGTATACAGTTACTGATAAACTATTTATGTAATTGTGATAACGACTAAAATATTTACAGAATGGCAGCTACTTTTCAGGGAGGGCTTCTTCCTTTACTGGTTTGTGAATGGCCTGGAATTATCTAGTAATGGCCCATGGTGATTCTTTTGTTACCCTGGTCTTCATTCTTGCAAGACTGCTTCTATCAAGATAGCCAAAGTTATCCTTCAGTTTTCATTTTCTGTGATTATTACAAACATTTGAGAACTGTTAAATCCGTGCTGAGTGAAGACAAAACTTAACTATTGAAATGACCTGCATTTTCTGTTTCCTTGTGCTCGTTTGTTTGTATGTGTGTTCTGTTCCTTATCTTAGACCTAACTTTCAAACTTCTGCGGCAATGACCGTCCATTGTCTTGTTCTGTTTTTACAGTGGCTTTACGGTCACTTCGATCTTGACAATTGAGAATGCCAAGAGATGCCTAGAGAAAATGTACTTCAGTAGTTTGATTTACAGTTTACTTGATCTTAGGAGGAGATGTTTAGTTAGCTTTTAAAGAGAACTTCTACTGCCAAGTTGATAGTGATTGTGAGTGCTTATTCATACTTTATACCTTTTGTAGATTCTATCATGTGAAAATTTTGGTACTTCACAAGTTGTTCTTTGTAATGTATCTCTGATCTATTCATGTGTAACTGTTAGCTACTGGAAAAGTTGAGTCACAGTTAATTAAGATAGGAGTCTTAATTAACCTACTCAATATATTTAATAATGGGTATAACTTGTGAATACTTTTAAACTAATTTCTTTTTCCTTGTGACTTAGGCTTCCACAGCAAAACCTCATATAATTGTAGCAGGAGCAGCCACGGTAAGCTATACATTTACTATACATTTTAGTACGGAAGGAAGTTCTAGTAGGCTAACTTCTTTGCCAACAAGCGAGTGGCAAGATAAAGATTTTGTCCCAGTTTATAGTAAAAAACACTGAGTTTTTTGTTTATAAAAAGTAATTCTAAAACATCAAGTATATTTTTTTATAGTTGTGTGGTGTACAATACTTGCTTATTAGCAGTAACATTGGTTGATATGGTTTGGTTAGCTTGGAACACAAGTAATATAAAGATTCTCTGTGAAAACCAGGTTATTCATTAAAAAAACATTAAATAAAAGAACTTGCATGTTAACTGAGATACATGTTTAATTTACTGTGTTTTCAGTCTCAAAATACTGCTTTTGAGGATGGCCCAATCTGGGAATGCTCTTTCTAGGATCGCACCCTTCTCTTAGATTTACATATAGGCAAAAAATTTTAGAGGAAAATCTAGCCTAAGTAATTGCAGTTCCTGAATCTTGTCACATTGGAAGGTTCCAGCACTGCTTTAGGCTGCAGCCTCACAGAAAGAAAGGGCTGACAAGGACTTAAAGAGGTCATCTAACCTATCAGTTTGGCATAAGGCAGGATCATCGTACTTGACAAGATTTTGTCTAACCAGTTCTTTAAAACGCCCAATGATGGTAATTCAACAGCCTTTTTCAGATAGTCTGTTCCAGTAGCTGACTGGTATTGGGAGTCAAGAGTCAATAACGACTTCTCTTCTCATTAACTTTTACATTTAGTGTTTCCCAGTTCCAAATTTTTTGGAAGTGGAATTTGAAAGTAATTAGCCATTTTAATTTTATGTCAGTCAGGTGGGAAAAAAGGGGACCATTTTAAACAAAGTCCTTTGAAAGCAATTTGGTTTAGAGACACATTGGGCATTCTACCAATCTGGAAATTCCTGGACATGCTAATACTTCAGGTGAAGGTTACGTATGGGTGTATGCACACCTCCACACAATTTTTTCTGATGTAGTCGAAAATTCTCCCCAGAGCTCAGTTTCTGTACAGGTGAAACCCCCCAAATTCTCTTCCTGTGTAGGATCCACACAAGTATACTGGGTTTTAAGAAGCTTGGTAAGCCTAGAATATATCCACTTAGCTCTAGAGTCTAGCATATTTTATGAGCATGAGTTGTCATTTTACAGAGAAGATACCATTCTATACAGATAGTATTCTGGTACATATATAGATTAGCCATAGTGTGTTGTCCTCTGTAAATAGCAGAAGAGATTTGAAACAACAACGTGCATGTGATGCTCAGCTTTTCGTAACACACAAATATAAATACATAAAGCATAAATAGTGACATCTACTGGTGGCCAAAGATAAACACCTCTATTTTAAGTGACTTGCAGAATATAAATACATAAAGCATAAATAGTGACATCTACCGGTGGCCAAAGATAAACACCTCTATTTTAAGTGACTTGCAGAAAAGTAAAGTGCTTCAAATATCTTCTGCATCAGTAAAATTACCACCACTACCACTAGCATGATACTCTGTCTCTAGATTAAACTGTTGCATGCTCTTGGACTTGTCAGTGTTTTGAAACTTAACTATATCTTTAACTAGCTGAAACGCCATACACCTTTTCCTAGCCTTTGGTAAGGGCATGCTACTTAACATGCCACTTTGACTTCTACCTGTCTGTATTAAGATGACAAATAAATAGCAGTTTATAAATAGAAGTAAGGTATTATAAACTGGAGAAGCTCACAAAACAGTTGCATGCTTGTTTTGGGAAAAGGAGATGGCTCTGAGAATGCCCCTGCAGTGCTCTGCTTTTTAGTTGCTGAGTTTCTGTTGAACAGAGTATATTTCTTAAAATGGCTGTTCTAATGCTCAGGATATTTCATGAGTCTAGATTTGGCTACTGTGAGAAAGTGCTTTTCTTTCTAGAGTGTGAGTTTTCAGAGCAGCTGCATAGTATTTAGACTCATGAAGTATTAGTTTATGCATATGGAAGATAGTATTCTCACAAGGTGGATTTCACAGTATGTTTGGTTTGCTTACATTAAAATATTTAGAAATATATTTAGCAATAACTGAGTAGTTCATCACATTCAGACTGAAGGTAAAACTTTTTTTCTCTGCTTTAACTGAGTAAATCAGTATAGATACAATAATATTTAAAAATGCTACATTGCTTACAGAAATTCTTTCTAAAGCTGGGAGAGATTCTTGGATGGTTGTAGAATTCTTGTAATCCTTTCGGGTAGAAGATGAAATCAAAACTCTCAACAGCGCTTCTTATTTATCTTTTTTAATGGATATCTGTAAAACATTACTTTTCTGGAACTGTTGGAACTTGATATCACCTTCAGGTTTTGCTGGCATGCATCTCTTGCTGAAGTCAGAGTTTTGCTAGAGTGAAATCTACTGGATTTGGCCCTGATTCTTATATAGTGCTGTTGCTGCTACTTCAGCGTTGTTCAAAGTCAGGGGACTTGTAATTAAAATGCCTTACATCATAAAACTGATGAAAAATCAAGCATACAGTAAGCTACATAGTATATACTGTGCATTTAGTTACTCTATTTGGATGTAATTATTTGCTTAGGCAGTTACTTGGTCCAAATAAAGTTTTTGAATGCTCTAAAAATGAACCCTAGAAGAATAAGCTAGCTTTATAAAAATAGTGAAAAATAGCTACTGAAGGAGAAATGGAGTCAGTTAATTTAGGATCCTTAGACACACAGGTTCTGAATCTCTTTTTATTTAATTCTCCAGTGGTCTATCAAGATTCACAATGGCAGCAACGAAGCTCTCACACAGTATAAAATCAATATCACTTCAATTGCACCTCTTTTGGAAAAATTAGCGAAAAGTAGTGATGTTTACTGGGTCTTACAAGGTAAAGTAATGAACAGTAGGTAATGACAATTTGTACCGTCACTCTCTGTTGAACCAATATCTTGTAGGATATGGAACACTTAGTCCATATTGCTTACTTCTAGAGAAAAAGGATGTTGGTTGGATTCCAGTTTGGCCCTTCTTGCAGCCTTAACTAGCTAGCACCTAGCTAGCTGTTACTGGTGTTGGAGATTTTAAAGCCCTCTCTGCAAAGTCTTTTGCTCTCTGAACTCTTAACTCTTTTTTTTAGCTCAGTCTCAAGATGCCAGGATCATTCTTCCTGTGCTGTACGAGCCTCCTGGGAGTCAAGAGCAGACGTGCATAAAACATCTGTATGTCTGTATTTGTGTTCAGTTCAATTTTCAGATGACATAAGTAATACAGAGGTTCAGCAAGTGCATTCTCTGTGAGAGTCCAAAATGAATGGATATATTCTAGAGAATACAGAGAATTGCATTCTCTAGAAGAAACTTGCTTCTTGAGCAGTGCTTGCACGCTGAGCATTAATGAGTTAAGCTTAGAAATCAGAGAACATGGTTCAAAATGAGTCTGTGAGATTTTTATTATGGCAGCAAAGTAGGATACATTCTTTGATTTTTCTTGAATAAAACTAAGGCCTGTCTCCAACACCGAAAATGAGCTCATAGGTAGAAAGTGCTCCTGGTTTTGTCTTCCACTGACTATAGTATTGTAGGTGGTTAACACCTCAGTTTGAAATCCAGGTGTATTTTGAGCCCTGGCAGGAATGTGCCCTGATGTACCCTCAAGGTCACATCCTAAGTTCTTATCAAAGATAGTTTTAGAGGTGTACCTGAACCAACAGATTAATGTTCTCGTATTCCTTTCAAAACCACATTTATCTAGAACAAAAGCAATTAGATATGGCTCAACATGCTGTTGATAAAGATCCAGACTGTTTAAGTCATCTACGAGGTCTTCATGCTCATAATGGAATAAGTAAGCGGGAAAGCACACAGAACTAGACTAGACATATCGAGGCTTTTATTGTCCAAAAGTAGGCATGAGGTAGCTAAAGTAAACCAACATATAACTCTTAAAGAATGTTTTACCAGACTTCATGGAGCTTTTCATTGCAACCTGTTGATATACAGCTGAGCTTTTGACCTAGAACTGAGTACATCCTTCTTTTATGCTTTAAATAATCTCTGAAGCCTGTAAACAAGTGGTGGTCCATTCTGAAAAATTGATTCTGCCATTAGTTAAATTGGAATCACCAGGAGCTAGTGGAATATGCTTATGGACTATGGCTTAGAAAATGAGAAACACTTTTCTTCTGCAGTACCTGGAGTTTTTTGAGATTTTTTTCAATGTGTATATTCTGCTGCCTGTCTTCTATCCTCTTGGCTTTGGAATCTTTGTGGTGGGGATTCCATTATTTAGGGGAAGGCCTGAAGAGCTGTACGTTCCAGCACGTATACTCTCGTCAAGGGCTTGGGGAAACCGCACAAGCATTCATGTGTGGCCAAAACTTTCTTATCTCTACATATGCTTGCATAACTAAACAAAAACCATTCATCTTAAACGTCTCTAGTTACTGTAATAGTTGCTCATTCCTCACTGTGTTTTCTTTCTGTAGCATTAAATGATTGTAGTTACAAAAATGAATTTAGACTGTGCAACTTAAGCAAACAAATGTATTCAAGTTGAAGATTAATGTGACCATTCTTTGTGCTTTCGTATTCAGATCCTGTTTATGAAGATTTGTTGAGTGAAAGTCGGAAAATGATCACTAATGAAAAAATAGATGCCTATAATGAAGCAGCTGTTCGTATTCTGAACAGCAGCTCCCGAAATTCCAAAGCTAAAGTTAAAGTGTTCAGTGTATCGAAGTTAATAGCACAAGAAACTATCATGAAGTCTTCAGATGGCCTGCATCTCCCTGAATCAAGCAGAGAAACAGTGAGTATTTTTAGCTCTGGTCATCATTAAAAGGCGTTGATAATGAAACAAGATGTTAATGAATGTTCTGAAATGGCTGGCAGTATAAATTTAATAAGGACCTGGACATTCTTCAGGAAATCTTGTTCAAAAGATCCAAGTAGGTGGAAGCGCAGTTGGTTCTACAAGTTATTTAAAAACATAATAGCTCCATATATTAATACATAGCTATTTTGAAAATAGATTTTAATCCTGTGAGTTAAAGAAAAATAAACAGTCTCTAGATCTTTTGGCTCCTGAGTAGTCCAAGGTGCCAATTTTGTGCCTTCATTTGCGTGAATGAGCTAGGGTGATAATGACTTGTAAAGCAGCACTCAGGAATAAGTCTTAAATTTTTCACCGTGTTTGGATGTAATTCCATTTAAGTAGGAGTATGGAAAGGATGAGAAAGCATGATAGATGCCTTTCTGGTTGTGTGGCGTGCCATTGATGTTTTTCCTTATTTCATCTTTAACCTACCAACAGATATGCACGCATTCAGCCTCTCTGAACTTTGTTAGAGTCTGCCCTTTTGTGAATTAACACTGTGTCACTTTTAGTACCAGGTGTTTGGAGGTTTCGGTTACTTTCAAACATTGGATGAAATAAACATCGTCTCAGCACGGATTTGGATCTCAGTCATGTTTTATGGATTTTTTTATCATACACCTTTAGGCCCCTAAGTTTGCCAGCTATTTTTCATTTATAGTCCCTATAGCTCCTTTTACAGCCAATCTTGCTTTTATAAGGATTAGGTATTTTTGCTCATCTTGAGAATCACAGGGCTTTCTGTTTGTGGGAGATGTTCTGATTCTACTACTGAAAGCAGCTAGGTATATGGGGGTACTATGAAGTTTTTAACTGTGTATGGGGGAAATGCGTGTGTGTTTTGTTATTGCATAATCTAGTTTAAGAAAATTTCTTGTGCTGAAAAATTTATTTTATTGCAAAGTAATTGACAAAACTGCCTATTTTTTTGACAGAATGCTATGATTCTCATGAATGTCTACTGCAACAAGATTTTGAAGCCCATTGATGGCTCCTGCTGCCAGCCTCAGCCTCCTCTCACTCTGATACAGAAGTTAGCTTTCTGTTTCTTTGCTTTGTCCGTTATTGGATATATAATTATCAATTTAATTCATCGGAATAATTATCGGAAGAACAAATCATGCGCTGATTTGGAAAGCGGAGAGGAAAAGAAACCTGCCATCAGTACTCCTACTGTTTCTACTCTAGAGATGCTGTTACACTCGTTCTGCAAACTTGGTCTAATCATGTCCTATTTTTATCTATGCGACAGAGCAAATCTTTTCATGAAGGAAAATAAATTTTATACACATTCATCTTTCTTCATACCAATCATCTATGTCTTGGTTTTGGGGGTGTTTTATACCGAAAATACCAAAGAGGTAATGATCATCCTGACATCCCACTTGTAATGTTTCCCTGTTTGTCTGTAAATTCCTAACTGCTAAATACTGAAAGTTAAAAGTTAAATTCTCAGAGTGGTGTAACTCATCTGCAAAAAAGGTCTCACAAGCACTATAATATTTGCATGCAATTAGAAGTAAAGTTTTTCAAAAGTATATGGATATGAGTGTTTTAGCCATTGTCACTCAGTCAAATTTTAAGCATAGCTCAGATACGAGAGGGTATAGGTCACATTAACGTCTAATACACCAGTATCCATTACACAAAGGCCGTTACACAGTTCAGACCTGTTTATCTGCCCGTAAAGTGGTTTACTGTTTTGAACTTTTTCTCCTCATTTTGTAGATGTTCGTTATACTTGTTGGAATAGCAACACTTTTGTTTTGTTTTGCATTAGACTAAAGTGTTAAATAGAGAACAGACTGATGAATGGAAAGGCTGGATGCAACTTGTTATTTTGATTTATCATATCTCTGGAGCAAGCACGGTAATTGATTTGAATTTCATATTTTTTAGTGGGGATGGAATTTGGTTACGTTACTTTGAAAGAAAGCTGAAGCTTTGTTTGCCTTTTAAGACAGCTTAATATGTGCAAATGTTTATCAGAATTTATTAGAATGAATAGCTAATATTATTGTTCTTTTATTTTTAAAAATGGCATTTGCAGAGTTAGTTTTTCTCTCTCACTTTCAGTATAGAGGTCATTGATAGCAACATTGTTTGCATTACTTAGCAGTGAAAAGATATACTTCTGTTTTGCTTCTTGTAGATAATTACAAATTACGTTAATTTGTTTGTAATTGCTAGCAACGCTTCCTTTTCATATTTAGAACTTGAAAGTGCTGAAGAGTAAGCTTTCAAAGATCCCTTCTTAACTCTTTCTTAAATGTTTATGGAGTATGGAAATGCAGAGTAGCAGACAGAATAGAAGAAATACATTCACATTTTAACATCCGAGAGGCAAGGTCAACAAAAGAGCTGAGTAAAAAAACAGGAAATGCAGCATAATGTTTGTTTTCTTAGCATAACCTGATTTAGTGCAATGCAGAAAAAGCATAAAATAGAGAGGAAAACCAAAAGCATTTACGTGTCCATTTATAAGAGGTACCTAATTTTTCTCAACAGTTTTTGCCTGTGTACATGCACATTCGAGTTCTCGTTGCTGCATATCTGTTCCAAACAGGTTATGGGCACTTCTCATATTTTTGGATAAAGGGGGACTTTGGTGTATACAGAGTGTGTCAGGTAAGAATAACGTTTTTGTAAAGAAATGTATTCGGAAACCAAAATATTCCAACTCCCTGAATAGTGTGATATCAGGTTATTTCATCAAGATTTGCCATTCCAAAATACAGTCATTGTATCAGTGTAATGTGGCCTGTTTAATCAGCAGTTTGTATCTAAAACAAGCATACAACAAATATAAAAGGTATTTTTGATCGAAAAATTAAGTATGCAGGCCTTAAAGAAAATTCATGAGAAGTATTTTCCAATACATGGCAGTGGAGATTAACTAATGTTTCAGGCAGTCAAGGCTGGCAGAAAAGAGGGATAGTCATGTCACCAAATTTATTTGGGCATCTTAAGTTTCTTCTGTAGTCAGTGGTTAATAAGAGGCTTATTCAGAAAGTGATCATATTCAGATAAATGTGATGTTCTGAATCAGTCTCTGGAAGAGCCTTTCTCCAGTGAGTACTAAGAAGGGCAGGCTGGTTGTGTAGGTGTCTAAAGGTGAGTGGTGTGGCTGCTCTTATCTGCTCCCCTCTATTGTTGGGAAATACTTTGGTTTTCCCACATTAGCCATTTGAGATGATTTCATTTTCTTTCCCTTACCTATTCTCACCATATCAGCCTGCTCCATGTTCATGTATTCCTGTGTTTTTTTGAATTATTAATATGTTTATATTAGAGTTTTCTTTTTACAAATATATGAATGCTTGGTGAATCCAGGAGGCTGTTGTATACAGAATTTTTTTTTTTTGGTCCTCCTCTGTGAATAAAATTATTCAGCAACCCCCAGCACATTGGTTTTGTTGCTCCCAGCACTGCAAGCCTTTATGTAGCTCGAACAAACCCTGTCTTGTGTCTGGTTTATATTGAAGTCATTTCCACTTGTTTACGTTCTGAAAGCTTTTAAATTTGCATGCGTTTGGGATCTTTCCCTCACCATTGGTGAAGTGAAGACGTTTTGGAGCATTTAGTTGGGATCATAGTTTCCCAAAATGCTTACGTATATATATATTTTTTCCTTCAGATGAGGGATGTTTCAGATCTGTTAAAGAAACTCTCTCCACATTGCTGTTTTATTATGTATCCAACTGTTCCATATAGAATTAGATTGCTAATACATGTACAAGAGACATGTATTGATGTCTGCCTTTTCAATTGATGTGCTGCCTTTTTCAAAACATACCATAATATCATCAAATATTGGACATTAGTGTTTCTTTGATTAGAGAATCTCAGTTGGGTGGGATTTTTGTAGTTGTTGTTTGGATTCAGGACAGATTCTGTGTACCATTCTGTTTAGCCACTTGATATCGAGAATGTGGGGACCACGTGCTCTAGGCCTGATCAGAAATAAACCCCTACTGTGTGTGCGTGTGGGTTTTTTTTTTTTTTTAACAGATGAAAATTTTGCAGCTGTGTCAGATGTAGCTACTTTATTTGAAAAAAAAAAAAAAAAAAGTAGTTATTTTTTATTTCTTACAAAAATAAGTTTATCCTGGTCCAAAAACCCTTTTAGTTTTGGGTACAAGTTTTCTGATCAAAAGGCAAAATTGGAAGGCAAACAAATACGCTCTAGCTATATTGATTCTCTGGATTTTTTTCCAAGGACACTGTAATAGAGCCGACTTTTGTTAAGGAAGAAAATGAATTTTTGCCCCATAAGAAATACAGGAGAAAATATCTTTTTTTTATGGTTTCGCTTCTCGGGTTTGCAGTGTGTGCTGTAGCAGTTTAAAAAAAAAAAAATTCTCTGTTGCTATCAAATGTCATTCTGGTTGAAGCAAACGAACCTCGTTGCGTTACGTGAACGCGGGTCACCCTGTGTCGTTAGTGCATGACTGCAGCATAACTGCAGCTCTGGTAAGGAGGCTCCCTGAGCGCTGACTGAGCTAGCCCCCTTAGCAGCGGTCCCAGCCCGAGGTAGCTCCCTTTGAGCCTCTCTTCGTTGCTGTTGCTAGCGCAGTAAGCCAGGGCAGGCCTGGTCCGCTAGCGCATAACCAGCCGGCGGTCTCCTTGCGTTGCTGACGCTCTCAAGATACTTGCACAGCTTTCAAGTGGAATGCAGTCAGCATGTGAGATGTAAAATACTGACGTGTTCTCATACAGTACTGAAGAAAAGCGCCCCCCATCTCTGTCAGCTGCCCCTCCTGGTTTGCATACCCTAAAGGGAACATACGGTTTTCTTTTCTCTCGTCTTCTCTTTCAGGTTTTATTTCGTCTCAATTTCTTGGTTGTGGTACTGTGTATAGTGATGGACCGACCTTACCAGTTCTACTACTTCGTGCCATTAGTCACTGTCTGGTTTATAATCATTTATGTCACCTTAGCTATATGGCCTCAGATAGTCCAGAAGAAAGCAAACGGTAAGATTTTTTTTCCTTCTGCGATAAAACATTTGCGTGTTGCTACAGATAATTAACCACGTAGACCTTATTGTTAGTAGATCTCAATTTCTTTTTAACATAATGCAAAAATGTTAAACAGCTGTCCACAGAAATAAAGTCTCTCATATATGAATTGTATGTCAGATAGCTGAAAGATGTAACAGCTGGTAACTAAACTATCTCTCTGGTCAAACCCATCTGGTTAGAATATGTTTTTATCAAAGCTTCAAGCATCAGAAATGTATTTTTTCAGGAGCTGTAGTGTTACTGAATGCAAGCTGAAAACATACGTCACTTTCTATCCTAGTTCAGATTGTTACTGTAGCAAATGGTTAGGTAGGTATGAACAGGGGTGGATCCGCCAGGCTTCTCCCCTTCTGCCTCGCCAACACCTCTACAGCTTAGTGTTAATTTCATCGCATCCGCCCAAATCAGAGCGCAGGGTTTGTTATCTCAGTCTCTTAGCTTAAGCATCCTGTCAGACGTATTTCTTGTGAGATGAATATTGTAAATAAAAATCGAAGTGAAACTATGCTTTGTTTCATGCATTGCGACTCATTGGAGGGCTGTCGTCATGTGGTAGATACTTGATTATAAATAATTCACCTAAATTAGAACTAGTAACCGTGCAAGTCTAGATCCTTCTTCCCTATTGATGAAGAGACGTTTGATTTCCAAATTTTACGTAGTTTAGAGATATGGCAATGAAACGCACCAAATTCGTGCTAGGAATAGAGGCTGTGGAAGTGTAAGATGATACTTTAACAGGATATCCAGAAGGCAAATAGCTCTGATATTTTTTTTTCTACAAAGGCACTTCTGTTCCAGATGCACAGAAATGACTGTTGTGTGCCTCAGAGCCACAGTTTACTGTGAAAGTAGAAAATCAGTCAGTGACAACTTTCACTTGTTCATGTTCCTGTTTACATGTGCCAATTTTATGTGGCAAGAGAGGGAGATGATTTCTCTGCTGCAGTGTTGAGGCTTGGGTAGAGCTTAAGATCAGTCAGCAGCTTTGAGGAACAGTTTTTTGGCTTGTCTTACTTTACAAGATACTTGCCCTTAATGAGCTGCAGTTGAGCTTTGAAGTACAGCTCCTAGTGTAGCTGGTACCTCGGAGTTTAATAATATATGCTCTAGTTATTGCACATAACAGAAGCTGTTAGTCGGGGGCGGGAGGGAGGCACCTATGTTCAGCTAGAATAAGAACTGCCTGTGCAGAAAGTTTGGGAAAGCAGAGGCCTTAATAGCGTTTCCATTTGTGCAGCTAAATTCTGCCTCTCGCTGTATGCGTGTTGTCCCTATTTTAGACATGAGGCTTAACGTAGGATTAATAGGTTGTCAGTTACTAGGAATGTTTAAATTTTACTTTAAGCAACTAAAATAGTGTAATGTATAGATAGTGGTAAAATGCTGCTGGTGATATTTGAATACTTATTTCTGAATGTGTGTATTACGAATACCAATTCGTTTACTTCTTCCTCAGGGAACTGCTTCTGGCACTTTGGTTTGCTGCTGAAGCTGATTTGCTTACTCCTATGTATATATTTTCTATCATATTCTCAGGTTTGTGAATTTTTGAATATTTATATCCTTATAAACTGTATTTACTTTTCAGTGCTGCTCATAACTTGAATGTTTTCTACTGTATCATAAACACAGAAGAAAAAATGGAACCTTTCAGTTTCACCTTTTCATACTTAAATTGGTGTGGATGCTGGAAATAACTGCAATTCTCTATCTTATTCATTTCTTTCTAATACTAGAATTATGAATTCAGTATACTCCTGCAGATTTAATAATAATGAAGGTCTGTGCTCAGGGTTTTTTTGGAATGTACTTAGCATTACTGTTTTTTTCATCTGATAGCATACGGGATTACAGACATCTGTGTCCTTTGAGGCCTGGTGTTAAAGGCTTTGATACATTAGCAAAAGGCTGGTTCTCATTTAAATTCATGACTTACTGTGTACTGTAAGTATACCTGACAGCGAAATAAGAGCAGAGTTGTAAGGACAGAAAACTATTGTTTTCTGTAGACTATGCATTTGTTATTCCAGCACAAGTGGACCTCTCCCTTTAAGCCTGCGGTACAAAATGGAAGGTGAGAATGCAAATTACATTTTGTAAGCGGGAAACAAAAAGGAAGACTTCTCTCATCTGAGAAAGTATTTTTGGTTTTTTAGGTTGTTTGAGTGGGTTTTTGTTTTTGTTTGTTTTTGTAGAGAAGCCAGTTATTTTGGTAGTGTCACATAGCTTCAAGGTCAGATGATTTAAACTGGTGAAATAGAGATGTGATAACACTAAGAGACAGCTAATTTATTTATTTAAATTTGGTAAATACAGCTGAAATCAGTGCTAGTATTTTCTCAATTTTTTTTTTTTTACAGGGTGCATTTGAGAAGATATTTTCTTTTTGGCCACTGTCCAAGTGTTTTGAACTGAACGGGAATGTCTATGAATGGTGGTTTAGGTGGAAGTTAGATCGCTATGTAAGTAAAGTTTACACAACTTTATAATGGTCTTCTAAGTGTATTTTTTAATATAGGATTGGTTTTTATTTTGCTTTCTTTCTCCAGAGAAGATAGGAATTTGATGTTCTAGTGATTGTTTATTCTAAGACTAAGCTACATCCACCTTACATTTGCAAATGTCTGTCAAAGCCTTGCTTAAAAGATGGGTTATGACTTATTTGCTGCTGGATCCTGCTTAGTTGCTCTAAAAAAGAAAAATCCTTGGCCTTATATTTTCTCTTATCTCAAACAGAAATTTCACTGCAAAAAAATCTTGAAATACCTGGAAATGCAAATTACTGTGGTGGCTTTCCTAACAAAATTTGTAGAAAGTTGTGTTAATCAAGGATATATTTCTTTTAAGAAAACCTCAGAAACAGTTCTGTTAAAATCCAGGGTCTTGACGCCAAAAATGTTTTAAACAGACTATTTTTACTTTTTTACACATACTTTAAAATATTTTTCCAGTGGGAAAGTGCTTTCTTCCCCCATATTGGCAGATAAAATGTGGAGGGTAGAACAGGGAGACACTTCTGGTTTTGCCTGTTTGGAAAGGTGAGCGGAGGGTATAAGATAAAAGCATCCCTATGCCTTAGCCTTACTGGCTCAGGATGCGGGGCCACACTGCCCCTTCTGGCCCTGTTAGTGACTTAAACTTTTTTGCATAACCCAAAGTGCACTGTGCAGAAACGTTTCAGATGTGGAGCTCTGATGCTTATGAACAGCGCGTATTCTGTGATGCTGCTAAAGAGGAAGTCCCAAAACACAGAAAACAAGCACCACGTGGGCCTGAAACAGCATCTTGCTGCTAGCTAATGAGAACTTGGCATAACATCATAAAACACTGCTGAATAATTCTGTCTGGGAGAGAGAAAAGCACTTGTAGTGCTGCTTCAATGTTTTCACCTGCCAAGTTGGGAGAAGGCCAGAGACACTCATGTTTTTTCCCCAGAGAAAGCCCTTTTCAGTGCTGGCAGAAATTGCAAAGAGGATAGCGGGTACTTGAAAGCTGCTTGATGTTTCATTGCCATTTGTTTAATGCTCTCTGAAACATTAGTAAGAGTCCTTAATTCTTTATTTTGAAGCTTAGTTGAAAATGCAGCTTTTAACAATTCAATGTAGGAAGCCTGTTTTTATTTGTTACAGTAAATCTGGGAAAGGAACTTCTGACATGTAGGCTTTGATATTACAAATAGGTTCAACTGTAGCATCTCTGTTACTTAACTTAAGAGTTTGCACCCGAAGCACATGTAAAAGCTGTGAAATAGTCGTTGCAACCTTTTTGTCTTTTACAGGTGGTTTTTCATGGGATGCTGTTTGCTTTTATTTATCTGGCACTGCAGAAACGTCAGGTGCTTTCAGAAGGAAAGGGAGATCCTCTCTTCTCCAGCAGAGTTTCAAATGTTTTATTATTTATTTCAGTTGTATCCTTTCTGGTAAGTACCTAGGAGAATTAATATAATAAGATTTGTAAATCTCTAAAGAGTCAGTTTGTGTGCAGTTATTGCTTAGAATGTATATTGATTCAAAAAAATCAACTTATTTTGGGAATATTTCAGCTGTGTTTGAAGTACATAGCCATACCTATCTACTACCTAAAATATTTTTTCCTTTCAGTTAACTGTAGGTGAGAATATCATTACTTTTTCAGTTCATTGCAAAGATTACAAAAAAAGTCAGCTCCTAGAAGTAATATGGTAGATAGTGTAGCTCTTTACTCTTGATGGCTTTTCTGCCTGTGATGAATAAATTGTCAACAGTATTTCTGTATCTTAGGGTGTATATAATTATGGCATTCATCAGTTGCAAAGAAGAATATGAGAGAAGCAAAACTAAGCACAGTGTAGTTCTTTCTATTCTTGTACAATATTTTAGTGACTCCACTACTGCTGAAGCATTTCAAAATAGCTTACGTGTTGTTTCATTATGAAATCTTATATATAATTGTTACATAGACTGATTTTTATGTCTTTTAGACCTACTCTATTTGGGCTAGTAGCTGTAAAAACAAAACTGACTGCAATGAACTGCATCCTTCTGTTTCTGTGGTACAGGTAAATATATTCCTTTTCCTTACAATTGCAGAATCAAGGCCGTTCCTGTTCTTTTCTATTATTTTTAAAAAATAGTATTTTTGCTTTAACAATAAAATTTCAAACGATGAGCTTCATTTTTGTGTCTGGAAGGGAGAAAGTTTTTTACGACATTGCTGTCTGTTTTTCGTTGCCTTTAGCACTGACATCACATGCTGTGGTTGTTTTTTGGTTAGCCTTGATGTCCTTGGTGTACATTACGTATGCACAGTAACCGTTGTAGTGATGTAGGCACGTAACATTCCTATCTATGCTGTCTATGTAGGTATCATAGATGTGTTACTTTATAGGGCAGGATATCAGGGTAGGGTCTGTTGAGACTATTAGCTGCTTCGGTGGACTCTCCTGGGAGCTGAGTCTTCCTGGGCAGCACAAGCTGAGGCTGCGGCGCCAAGATCATCTGCAGGATGAGACGAAGTTGCATATAGCGTACAGGACTTTGGGGGAAGGGGCTCCCTCTTTTCCCTACGGTAACCGCACACAGTGTGCGAAGAGACCTGTAGCTCTAGCTCTATTTAAGTCCAAAACCAATTTTAGATGAATTGCTTAGCAGTGGAGAAAGGAGAGCTGTTAGGGAACATGAACATTTGGGAGGCGTTAGTGTAGTAAAAGAGCTGTGGAGTTCTGCATTTGCTGGGGAGTCTTGAGGGGCCAGGCTTTTGGAAGAAGAGCTGGGCAACAGGGGAGCGCATGTAGTTGCGTTAAAGTTAGAATTGTCTTTTGTTGTGTATCCTTCCCCCGCTATTTGCCAACACTTCCATTCTAATCCCTCTCCAAGTTTCATTTTTTACATCTTTTCCTGCTCTGTTGCAGGGCAGCATGGGTGACTTAATTTTTTAATATTAATTTTGGTCGATCTTGTCATCCTCTCTGAAAATTGATGGTGGTCTTAACAGTTGTGGCCACCTTCATTTTAGGCTGGCATGGTATAACATGTTTTGTGACCGTGCCTAGTAAGTGCATACTAATATGTATCAACACCAAGGCCACGATTCTACAAAAATTCTATGTGACTTGCTATGCTATAAGAGTGTATGCATGAGATTTGCAAGTTCATAGTCCTAATCTGTTAAGTATAAGCTACTTGGGTTTGGCTGTTTCGTATATTTATTAGATTTTAAAGAAAAATTAACAAAATATTTTTGCTGTGCTCTTTTTAGACAGTGACAATGTGTAAACTTTTTTGTGTGTGATCTGAAGGCTACTTTTCACCTGCAGTCACCTTTCTTTTTAGATTTTAGCTTTCATCCTCATCAGGAACATTCCTGGATATGTCCGCTCTGTATACAGCTCATTCTTTGCCTGGTTTGGCAAAATTTCTTTAGAAGTAAGTAGAATGCAGTGCAGAGAATTTCAGCTTTGGAATGTCTGGTGGTTTTTATTACGTAAATTGTAATACTTCAAACATGTTTGCCCTAGAAAGCTTTGCTTTGTTAATAAACAAATACAATTTTACCAGCAAAACCATTCTTGAAGCGGATGTTATCTGGATACTTTTTTGTTCCATTGAGTGTATATTTTGAAACAGTAGGAATTGTTAGCTTTCCATTTTAGTTGCTGTTCAGTAATATTAAATGTTTAATTTTACTGTATGACAAAAAAAAATTTTTAAGGGAAAAGAACTTATAGGAAAAACGCACTGTAATTCAATGTATATGTAGTATATGATTTCTAAATTTATTTTAAAGGATCATATTTTCACCATTCAGATTCCCGCTGAACTGTTATGGTGCTGATCAACCAACTACAGCCTTTGCATTCATCAGCAGTTAAGGCACTATCTTTCATTTGCAGGGCTGTTAGGAGGTCCCTCTGCAGGGATACGGTAACTGACCACAGGCATAGTCCTCTTCTGTTCTGACACAGCGTAAACAATGTTTCCCCAGCCTGCATTTGGTTATGGACTAAGTTAAACTGTTTTACTGTGCACTGTAACAGACTGCACAGGCAAGGTCAGTTGCTGTGCCTCATCTGAGGTGGTTTATAGCAAAGACATGTGGAACACAACTTACATTTACGCAAATTACATTATTTAGTCATTAGCGTCCGACTTAAACAGAAGTACATTGTGTCAGCTAATGCGGTACTTAGAATTATATGGGGGGGGGCTTATATAAAAGTATTTTAAAATTCACTCTGTATTCCTTTTAGCTTTTCATCTGCCAATACCACATTTGGCTGGCAGCAGACACGAAGGGGATCTTGGTGCTCATTCCTGGATATCCGATGCTTAACGTTATGGTCAGCACTTTCATATTTGTGTGTGTGGCACATGAGATTTCTCAGATCACTAATGATCTAGCACAGATTGTTGTTCCTAAAGATAACCCAACTCTGCTGAAAAGGTTGCTATGCATAGCTGGATTTTTTTCTGGACTACTACTCTTCTCAGCAATTCAAGATCGGTCAAGGCATTAACTTAAAAACATTCTTGAAAACTTTCTTCAGGTTTACTTTCTGTCTACCTGAAAAAAAAATTCTCAACTGGAGGTACAAGAAGACATTTAAATGAAGTGTGTGAAAAATGTATATAGTGGAAATGTACATATTTTGTGTGGGAATAGCCTTCTTCTCTCAAAGAATCTGAGAAACAGAAATGCACTGTACAGAATTGCATGTGAAATTAAGTCTTTTCTACTGGATACAAATTTCTGTTTACATATCTGTTTAAACGTAATATGAAGAAGTGAAGTTAGATGGTTTACCAAAACCGTATGGATATCACGGAATTAACTTTACCTTGGGACAATGGAATGAATGGTGGATATTTACTAGTGTACTGCATATACATAACATACTGTAATCACTCTCATCAAGGAACTGTTTTTGTAAGAAGCCAGCAAACCTGTGATCCTTAGTTAATGGGTACCTTTGGCTGATGTGAAACATGAAGTTACTTCTCTGGTAATCCAGGGTATTTTTCTAAACAAATGGTAATTTCTTGTTGTGGAACGAGTATTTTTCGATGCAGCTAGTATATGCTATATGAAACCCTTTATACATTGAAACAAAAAGTCATCACCAGTTTAGTGATTTAAGATTATACCCAAGTTTACATAATATTTTGTTTTTAAGACATTTTCAGCAAATATGGTGAATTCTGAGATTAAATTATTGTTAAAAATATGTACGCAATTTTATTTTCAATTTTCCTAAAATTCTTTGCTTTTTAATGCTTTCCACTAATTCATTTAACTATATGCAGTTCTATGTAGAAACTCATTGAACAAACAGGTGAATAATTTTCAGAGACTCAGCTGAATATTGAGAAGTTCTGGAAAACTCCCATCCTTTTGCAGTGAGATGAAATTCCATCATATCCACTTCTTCAGATTTTACAGAGAAGGAAGAGCAGGGGAACAGTCATTTTTGAACCTGTCTCTCAGTTTGTAGGTGACTTTGAACTAGGTCTCATTAGGAAGCTGGTGCCATATTCTATCCTGTAATAACAAACATTTTCATTTAAAAGGATAGAAGTCAATCTGTTGATAGGAGGATGAGGACTGAGTGGTGCTCTTGTTACATGCCGCTAGTTCAGTCTCTTTAAAATTTGAATGAAATGAGACTGAAGCTGTTTGAATGAACCTGTTTTCCCATGCTATCTAGCAGTGCCTGTCCTTCACTACCACAAATCAAACTCTGAACCCAGTTTTTCTCTTTAAATCTTTCCTTCAGTATAAAAAGTAAAATTGAAAGAATTAGCACTTCCATATGGAAGTGGCAAGTTGTAATTTAAGTAGGTTCCACGTATTCAGTGGAGTTACGATGATTCCTTCCTTGTTTGTAGTTTTGGTTCAAGTAATGCGTTGAGCTTCAGTTACTTTTTCACTTTATTCCTCTACTGATTACTTTTTAGCAGTTGAAAAACGCGTACAGTATTGTTTTCCAACCATATGTGCAATTATATGTAATTATGAACAGTATGAATCTTAACTTATACTGTATGTATTCCAGCACTTAACTGTTTTTGATGTTATCCGAGTTGAAACATAGAATTCAAACTTGGAGCCAATAATGACTCCGAAATAATTTCTGTGAAATGGCTTCAAATTTCGTTTCAGAAAAGAGAATCCTTTAAGAAAGATGGGTCCGTTCAATCAGAAAAAGAAAAAATATTCATTCAACCCCCCCAAAATGGAGCAGTTTTGCTAAGTCAGCCAGCTATTTTGATAAGCTATTGGAAAGATACTCAACTATGTGTTAATGTGTGTACATTATTTCCAATGTTTGGGAAGTTATCCTCATTTATCAGTACATTTGAATTACTGAAAGGAATGGTATAGGTGAACACTGTAGTGGTGGATAGGATGCATAGCCTTCATCTGTACCAGCATTAGGAGCAATGGAGAACTGTGAGTTTGAGGGATATTTTTTTGTTTTGTTCTTCACAAGCTAAGTATTGTAGATAAAATTTTATTTATCTGTTGTACAGATTTGGTTAAAAGATTTATTTTTAATGTTTGAAATAATGCACTTGTTTACTGTATGTGGGATAAATATATTTTCTTTTAAGGTTATGTGAAACTATGAAGTAATTTAAATATTAAATAAATGTGCTGTGGATGCTTATTTTTGTAATGGGAGGAGCATCAATTAAGTAAAAACTTTTTATTGCTTGACTCTAGCTGGGCTACAGTTCACTGTTACGCCAGCCTTAAATTACAGATTTGTGGTGCAATGTTTCTCGAAATGTTATTCTGGATACCGTTTCTTCAAATATTTATTTTCAAAGGGAAGATATTTACTCACATATCACAAATGATTTTGGGTGCAATGCAGGGAAGAAAGACTCTCTGCAGTAACTCAGACTGCTCAGTTGCCATGACTGTAACATTGGGGTTAAAATAGCCCTCTTCTGTGTTTGGTCCTTCCAGATAGGACTGTTCAGAAGTTAATGAGATTACCGATCCAGTAACCAGAATCACCCCCCGAGCCAAGGGCCTCCGGCAGAACTCTGCAGCGGAGGTCTTGATTCCTTCTCCCTGGGTTAAAAGCCAGAAACTCCTGAGGTCAAGTCCTGCAGGAAAGCACAGTAACCAACTGTACTTCTTTGCAGGATGGGTTTCCTGATGTTGCCATACTGAAATCTTAATTGAGTTAAGGAGTTTAGCTTTTTATTTAGCTACTTAGGTCTCATATAGTTAATAGAGGGAGGGACTCCTCAAGCAAAAGATTCAAAGCAGTATATTATTTCATCTCATCTCCAGGGGCATTCCTCTCTTGATTATACCGGGGCTCTGGGACTATCACACCTGGACTTGGCACCTGACATAAGGGGTGTGAATACTTTCCATCCTTTCTGAGTTACAACATCAGTGTGGGTATCTCTCCCAGTGAAACAGAAACCCTGCGCAATCAATCAGCTCCAGTTCTTTGCTTCTTTATCACTGTCCATGATACTAACTACTGTAACAAGAAGTTGTGCAGGCATCATTACATAATAAACAGGCACCAACATCACTACTTAATTTAATGTTTTTCCTATTTATTAGATTTTACATTTCATATATTTACAAAGACATCATTAATGCTTTCTATTTATTTTGGTTGCAACTGTCACTTAATCATTACACTACGGTTCATACTGTCATTGTACATGGTTAAAAAGAGGCTGTGAATTTACTGTTTTAACTATCATCAATTTTAAATATTAAACAATTAAGTGGCTTTAGCCAGCTTTATAAATCTACATTTCTGTGGTAAATAGTTTAATAAATCACTTCTTATTAAGCTTAGCTAAAATGAATGAAGCTTTTAACCATAAAATCATTCCAGTATGTGTAACACCCAAGTTGTCTACATCACTAGATTCTTTTCAGAATATATGGAGCACTCACTGGTACAAACTAATTATTTATGTACGTAACAGTTTAGGAAATTTCCTTAAATATATTGGCACTGTTGTATATTAATACAAATAAGATAAGAATGGCTTGATTTAACTGATTGTCAAGCCATCCAAAAATTATTAGAAATCTTTATGATCCAAAACCAATACTACTCACAAAGTTTAGTTTTCTGTTGAATTAAAAAATCATTATTATTTAAAATCCATTCCATTCATTTCTGTGTCAGCACACTGAGAGCTTATGCATTTATAATTAGGGGCAAAAATCCAAATGTTGGTTGTACTCAAGTTTTTCACAGCTTTGATGAGAAAGGTACCTTTTTTTTTTTTTTAATTTAGTATAAAATCTCACAGTTGACTACCTGGCTTCTAATTCCTTTGGCACTGAAAGTCTGCAATAGTTGTCTACATCACTAGATTCTTTTCAGAATATATGGAGCACTCACTGGTACAAACTAATTATTTATGTACGTAACAGTTTAGGAAATTTCCTTAAATATATTGGCACTGTTGTATATTAATACAAATAAGATAAGAATGGCTTGATTTAACTGATTGTCAAGCCATCCAAAAATTATTAGAAATCTTTATGATCCAAAACCAATACTACTCACAAAGTTTAGTTTTCTGTTGAATTAAAAATCATTATTATTTAAAATCCATTCCATTCATTTCTGTGTCAGCACACTGAGAGCTTATGCATTTATAATTAGGGGCAAAAATCCAAATGTTGGTTGTACTCAAGTTTTTCACAGCTTTGATGAGAAAGGTACCTTTTTTTTTTTCTTTAATTTAGTATAAAATCTCACAGTTGACTACCTGGCTTCTAATTCCTTTGGCACTGAAAGTCTGCAATGTTAATTTTTCAACGTATGGTGTGACAGGTTAAGCTGCCTCTTGTAGTGTAAGAGCAACTGTCACCATTGATACGGCTAGGTGACTTTATGTTAATGTAGTCTGTGTTGTGATTAGAGTTTAGGCTGTCCTTGGCAACTGTGACCCATCGGGCTGGACAATGCACAAGTATGAAAAAAATTATTTTTGTCTTGTTTGAAATATAAATTGAGTGTGTTTCTCTGCAATGAGCACTGATTATATATTTTGCTGCACTTTTTATTGGGTCTATTGCACAAATGTAGCTAAAAAGAATTGCAGCACTGCTATTAACTATTATCATCTGCCACGGTATTGCATTTGGGTCCAATCCTATAACTACATCATTGTTCACTTAAAAAGGAATAGCCTTTCTGAAATTAAAAGAAAAAAAATCAACTGTTTTCACAAAACAGGGGGCCATAACTGTAAAAAGCCAGTGACTACTTTGGTCCTTCTGTGAACAGAGTAAAAACCTTATTCTACAGTTTCTTCTCAGCCTCAGTCTTGAAGCCCTAAGGGAGTCTGAATTTCTCTGCGCAAAGTACTGGTCAGGAAGGAACTGCTTAGCTAAGAAAACATAGCCAGCATGTAGTAGTAATTTTAACATAGGTGCAGCTTTGTGCTTAAACTTCAGTGGCCTGATGAACACACAGCTCCTGAAAGAGAGAATATTACAGAAAAACAAAGCACAAATGTCAGCTAAAAAGCGTATGATCCTTTAGGGTAAAACCCGAAGACCTGTTGGTATCAGCTGTTACAGCAGAAGCCTTCAATCCTGTGTTACGCTGTAGTTGAATGAGGATTTATACAAGCATCAGAAAAACTAATTATTTCAAAATGTCACTTGAGATAGATAAATTATCACCATCTAGTGACAAATAAGGAAACCTCAGTCTGAACCTATTTTTTTTTAATCAAGCTTATATTTTTAAGAATTCAGTATAGATGAATGCCTCTCAAAGTAACTAAGTCAAAGGTCCCTCAAAGGGACTTAAAAGTTATTCCATATATGCTACAACAAAATTTACCATTATTTATTTAAAAGACACTCATTTCTGCTTACAATGATTTGTAACAGTTTCTTCTAACATAATCAGATGAATGAATGGACAGATTTTAAATGTTTTAATGCTTATATCTTATCAAATTTGTTAAATGTTTGGTAGAGGAACAGAAATCCAACTTTCCCCATGAATCGTTAAGCTTTTTTCAAAAATAACTTTGCTCATTACTTTTTTCTTATCTCTAGAAAATGAATGTCTAATAAATCTGGAATACTATTTCTAAGCCTTTGCACAAGATTTCATCCTTACATACTACTGCTTTTTGTGTGCAAATGTAAGGCAATCATACCGTCCCATAGAACGGAGTCTATTAAGTTCTTTGAACTGTTTACTTATTTTTTTGTAGTTTTGACTTCCCCATTAAAGTTCTCAGGAGAGATCACGAGATAGAAGAAAGTTTGATATTTATTAATACATATATTTGAAAGATTATTTTCTTAATGTAACAAATATAAAAAGTTATCAGTGTTTACAAATTCTCAAAAATGTCCAAAGTACAAAAAGATACAGTACATTAGTTACATGTAAATGACTGTACTGTCTGGCACTGAAATCAATACTGTGGGCATGCACAATATACACCAGAAGGACTCATGCATCAATCAGAACAAATAAGGAAATAAGACAATTACTGCTTTCTCTGATTACAAATTCATTGCTTCTGTCAGTTTTCTTTCCTCAGGAATACCATTTACCTGTAAATAGATGAGAATTTATATCATCCATCAGTGGCAGAAGATGCTTCTACAGTATTGAAGTGTCAACTGGTAACGTAGCACATAATAAATACTAGTTATTTCTTTTTCAATGACTGCGTTAAAACTAACAGCAGAAACAAGCTGTGGCTTTCCAGCTCTCCGAAACCAATATAAACAGAAATGGTAAAAGTACCACCTGCACAAAAGGATGGCATATGGCAGAAGCTTCACTTGTTCTCTTTTGGGAAAGTAGACATCTGGGAAAAGATCATTTTCATTGTGAGTTTATCAACTTGGGATCTGACAGACTTCATATAGAGAGAATGTGAAACTCAAATCGGAAATGCTACATACAGTATACATGCACTATTTTTTTTATTTTGTATTATAGGCAAACCTTTTAACTTTGTTAGTTAGAGACAGCATGGATTTTGCCAATTTACAGAGAAACAGTTAGAAAACTTAAGTAATATACCTTTTCATATTATAATTCACTCAAATTTTCAGCAGCATAATAAAGATATTAGGTGCAAGTTGTCACCTTTCATGCTATTTCTTTCCCAGTTATGTTTTAACTTTTCATAAAACATTATGTCAGCAAATAAGTCTAGCTGCTGCATTTTTAAATAAGGTAACAAAAATTTCCTTGCTTCGTATTGGGGATTCAGATAATCACTGAAGAGGATATGATTTATTAGCTACTCTCTGCTCTTCAAATTAAACACAGAGTACAGTCTACTGAGGCTCTAAAAATGAAATATCCACTTACTCACTGTGTTGATTAATACTATTATTATTAGTGCTGATTATATCATTGGCAATTCTCTATAGGAAAGGAAGAAAATTAAAGAATAAATGTAGAGTTTTATTTTTTTTCCTGGCCTTAAGCATCTTTTAGTTGTGTAAATTTCTTTTTTGAACAGAAAAAAAATGATTGCTAAGTTTACGCTGATGCTTCTCAAAATCTTAAGGGTGCCTAAATTTTATTTGAAATCTAACGTCCTGCAAGTTGTATATTTCCATTTAGAAGATAAATTGCATCAAACATGCTATCATGTCATGGAAGTCCTTTCAACATCATCTGTACGTCTGAGTTATGAAGGAAAGTGTCCCTGTAAACTAAGAAAATAGGAGGAAACGTCCCAAATAAGTTTTATTCCCATTTCTGAGAACTTGTCACAAACAGTGTCTGTGATGGATATGAAAGAGCAGATGCACGTTCCAGCTCATCCAGGCAAAATGAAAAGTAACGAACAGTAACTAGCCCTTGCCTGAAGTACAATCTGTTTAGAGCAAAACAACCACAACGTATGTACATACGTGTTTGTGTGCACGTGCGCATGCATATGCACCTGCCTGACAGGTAGCACTGTGTCAACTGTAGCGCACTGCTTAAAAAAATGTACATACAAGAAGCAAGGTATTACACTTCAATCCCCTGCAAATTATTAGAAGAATTAGCAGCAACAAATACCCAGTGTCTGATAAGGTGTCTGAAACAGCAAGTTATTATTTGTAGAAAATGAGTGTTCACAATTTATGCCAAATGTATACCTTTTTATATATTACTGAACCAGAATTGGGTGGGGTGGTAGCAGATAAAAACATGTGAACAGGACACAGATCTAGCCAGAGCAACTAACTGATAGAATAATCATTTTAATACAATTTGTTCTTTTAAATACACGTGCTGATCTTTTTAAGACAAACCAAGTACCTAAGTATTTTATAAACTGAGAAGTAAGCTTTCAGAAGTAAGGGGAATTTTTTCATATATTTTTGAAGTCTACCTGGAACTGCTTTGGCATAGGAAGAAGTAAGAGTGATTTTACCAAAATACTGTACTTCACAAAATACATCTTTTTAACTGTACACAGGCAGACTTTTAAGACATATTTTTACAAAAGTTTTTCAGTGCTACTTCCAAGCAACAAACCCAGGCTAGCTTGTATTTTGTGTCTTTGGTCAGTGTCCTCACTGCCATCACACGTACTATAAAATCTACAGAACTATAAAATCACTCTGAGGTTATTTTGCATCTTTTCCACTGCAGAACAGCCTGGAAATCTCATAGCAAATCATTCATAACAGAAGAGCTGAACTGCGTGACATTTTTATTCTGCCTTATAAATGCCTACAGTAGTTGAGCCTTATAGAACTACTCTAAATTTCAATTCAAACCAGTGCTGGAGGCTTTGGATAATACCTCTAGTATTATCTGCAATTTCCAATATTTATATAATAAAGCACACAAAGAGCAAAGCTTTCTAATCATACTGTGTAAAACTACTATCAGCTTAATATAAATGTGTTCTTAATTTCCAGATAACAAAAAACAATATGGGCAGAAGCATCTATTATATACTTGCCTCAAATCTTTGAAAAGTTGTCATACGGAATTCTCCTTTAATCCCCGACAGCAGTAATGAAGAAGAAGGATTTTGAACGAAAATAAGAGTTTCTTATGTAACGCCTAAGTTAAAACAAATCTTCCTCTCAGGGCTGTAGTACAATACATATATTTCCAGAGTTTTGCCTAAATACTCCTTTGAATATTCAAGTTATACTTTGGCCTCTACGTTTTACTAATATGATCCTTGTCCTCTTTCCTACATGACTGTAGTTTTTTCCTGCATGACTAGTTTTTTCTAAGATCTGATATGCTAACTAAAGAGAATAAATCCCAGCCCTTACCAATACTTTGATGGAGATCGTTCACAACCTCAATCAGTACGTTATGATTTGTGAAGAAGGTGCAAAAATGACAACCAAGACACTAGAAACCAGCAGTGTGGATACACTTGTTCTCTCCACAAATTCCCCAATACCAACGGTTTATGTTTAGTACCAGCAAGAAAAAAGCTATTTTTTCAGGACCTTAGATAGTATTGGTAGGAATGAGAAGCTTTATTTTCCTATCAAGTTCTGTAGAATGCAAAGAGTGTAACTAACTGTCTTTGGGAATCTGGCTATACTTTGGTATTGCAATAGAAAATGATTTCTGTGCTTCCAAGTTTTAGCTCTATCAGATTCCAGTGGCTCACACTGAGACCCACTGTAGTATTCTTCCTATTTGTCCAATAAATCTCATCCCAAATTTCCACCAATTTATCCAAAAAACCCTGGAAAAAAATGCTGTAATACTTCATTATGTTTGAAGATGGTTTCCGCTGCCCAAAGACTGTTTATGTTTAAGGCTGGCGATTCCTGCCCACTACCCACTTGATTGGTAGAGTCATTTTTTAATACTGACCTGCAGTCTGCTGCTGTGGAATTCGAGTTTGATGTGGCAGGTTCCTACCAAAAAAAAAAAAGAAAAAGAAAAAGAAAAAGGGTATCTTTACTGCTTCCATGCAAAGTCTGAAGTATGTTATGCATAAAAATTCAGATGTCAACAAAAGAAAGAAAAACAGTGTTAATGGATAGCTCCTATAATTTTACTTGTCACCTAAGTTCAAATATATGAAAAGCTGGAGGGAAGCAACAAGAATCACATGCTGGCTTCTGATGCAACGCAAAACTCTGCTTCCGTAAATGAAAAATAGAGAAAGGGTGACAATCTTTGAAACTTTATTGACTGTGGAATGAATGACTATTCATCTAGAATCACACATCAGACCAGTTCAGTTATCACAGCAAAGTTACATTTTTGTGCCCTGCTTAAGTGGCGATTTTTACAGGTGCTAAATATTAAGGTTGTTTTTACAGAAAGGAATTGGAGGTTAGAATAGATGTGAAGTGGTAAGAGCTGTAGGTGTCACTTCAGAAAGCCTTTGGCACAGGCTCGGGAACGTCTCTCACAAAAACATTTACTGGCTTGGCTTTCTTTGGAATTAATCACGTGAAAAAGCCACACATATGCACATGTGTTTTAAGTGCTAGGGTCCAGGTATATGAAGTAAAGACGGGAAATATCATCTGGAAGTCTAATCCTAACTCTGCTGTTTCTTAAATATAACTTTATGATGTGTTTGATATAAATACCTGCTCACAATCAAAACCTGGAATTATTTTTTAAGTCAACAGAAGCTGCTATTGTACTATTTGATTGTAATTCCTAGTGTTAAAATAAGTTAAAGATTTAATAAGGCCAAAATGGTTAATCCTTATAGGTCCTTATTTCTTTAAATGTAACTTTTGACTTTCTTCTCTATTCAAAATAGCAATTTTAAAAATAAACTCTCAAAATACAGGGCAGAACACTTAAAAGCAGTTGTAAAATGGCTAATTTGTACAGATGTACTTTCTAGAGAAATTTCTGGAGAGTTTTGCTTTTAAGATGGCAGAGAAGAAAACAGCACGTAGCTACATTATGAAGAGAAGTAGGGCCAAGTCAGTGCTGGCACTGGAGCGATAGCAGGAGAGTCGTGCTGCTCCCTCCCATGCAGGGCTGTCAGCGGAGGAACAAGCTACTGCAGCTAGTGTCTTAGAGCAGACCAGCTCACCCGGAGACCTTCCCTGAGAAACTGCTTGCAGACATCTCCCCGTTTGTCAGCAGAAGTCAGTGAATGTTTAGCGGAGCAAGAAACACAGTCTAATTCCAGCAATTCATATTGGAGTGTATTAAATTCATATGGCTACTGGCCTAATTTATTACTAGGGCACAAAAGATGTATCTGAATCAGTAAGTCTGTGAAATACAATATTGTTAAAAATGATTTAACTGTTTATAAATGAAGAATTTTCTGATTAGGCAAAGAGTAAATAAGATGCTGCCCAGCCCTAAGACTACAGCATAAGGTACACTGACTACAGTAACTTCTCTGTCAAATCTCTTAGTGCAACAGAAATCTGAATGCTTTTCCAAAGGAAGAACTCCTTTTTGTAACATTTATATCCCCTATTTGAAGTATTTTCAAACGTTACCAATTTTTCAACCTAGAAGATGTAACCTCCTGCTCCTTAGTGCTAGGTGGGGGACACCCCTGTCAAAGTGCAAGCGATCCAGATCCTTCTGGAGCACGTTTTAAAGAGGAACACCCCAGCTCTGCGCCTTCCCTGCACCAAGGAGGCAGGAAGCCCCCGTGTTCAGGCTCCCCAGCTGCCTAGAGGCAGCTAGAAAGCCGGGGCTGTGCACCTTGGCTTGCCCGTTCCTGCAGGCTAGCGGTGGTAGGAGGAGAAGAGCAAGCTGGGGAGCAGACACTTGTTCTTTGGCAGACCGTCTAGGAAGTTCCCGTCAATTTACTTCCTGTTTGAAAATGCAAGCAGGGCCAGCAAGCGCTCCAGATCCACATGCAGTAAGGAGAAAAACAGTAAAACACCCACAAGGGAATGTTTCTGGAAATCTCATTAAAATCTACATTTTGCCTTTTTGTTCCTGTTACAATGAATGTTTTAAGGAAAATAATATTTCTCTCATCAGAAAGTAATTCCATTTTCCAGTCAGGTTTAGGAGCAGACTGGATGAGAGCACAGAATGGTGCAACTAGCAGCTTGCATCTTTGTCTCTTGTAGTTGAAATAGGAAGGACGTTCCAAGTAACGACGTGAACCTCGTGCTAATGGGATTCTTGGCTGTTTGACTGTGTTAGTAGTTTCTGAGCAGTTAGTTAAATAGCAATCAATGTTGATATGTTCCTAACAGAGTCCTATCTGCTGTGGCACATTGAAACACTATTCTTCCTTGCTGGTGACTGCAGATCTGCATTCAGTTATGTCACCTTCCCCCTGACAGCTGCTTCTGCTTCCCTCACTCCTCAGCGTGTTTCCTCTTCCCATATCCCTGGGAAAATGGAGAAGTACTGAATGTTTCAAGGAGGCTCACCAAGCACAAACAGAACACTTTTGGGAGCGATAGGCTACATGTTTTATGAAATGGCAAGGGATGATAACGCCAGTCGCTTCCCAGACCATTGTCTCAGATCTACTCAAATCCAGACAACGCAACTAAACCTTTCTAGAAAGGTCTTTCTTTCTACAGACCTACCAGCTTCTTCGAATTTGAACTAATGAGTCAGAGACAAGAGTTATATGAAAGTTTCTGACAAATGAACTCTAAGAAATAGAGATAAATATTTTTCTGGTTTCTGTTTTGGAGAAAAGCTGGCAGCAATGGAAATGGCTGAGAGTTCTGAACATTTTCCTTGGTAAGCTGTATTTATTATCTATGTAATGGAATATGTTCTTCTGCTCAGTGTTAACATTTCAAATATAAACCCTGCATGACAGGTGCATCACTGAATACTTACAAAGTTTGGATTTTATGGAGTGAGTGGTAGTTTTATACCAGGACTCCAAAGACAGGAGTTAAGTGAGGCAGGATTTCTAAAAGGGAACATTTTAATTGCTTCCTCTCTCAAAGGTAGTATTTCTTCAAAATATGCAGAAATGTAATCGTACCACAAAAAGTTTCTTGCCAAGTTTGGAGACTGAACTTCAGTCATTTAATTTTATAATAGAAGGCCTTTATTTCTGCTTAAAATGCAAACATCGAAGCAATCTAAAACTATAGAGTCATTATGGATTCCCCATCATAAACACATTCAGATAATAATCACTGGAAGCCATAGTTAAATTGTGCAACGCAATGATTATAGGTATTAAAAAAATTCTAAATACTTACTGCTGTGTTTGCATTAGTGGCATGCTAGTATTATCATAGTTGTCTGTGTGAAGGGGTGGTACAATCTCACCAGTAACTGGGTGAAACACAGGAAGCGTTGAAAGAGGCCATGCTATCTCTCTATTTTTAGACATGTCACGAAGCTCTTTGGTTGATTTCTGTATAGCACTGTGATGGACCAACTGGATGCTATGTCAAAAGGAAATAAAAAAGTAAATATATATTTTAAGTGCTCTATCTAAATGGGTAGACGATTACTATTTTTCTTTCAAATACAAGGACTTTAATGCATGCTACCTACTCAATAGTGCAGTAATTACAGTAAATCTTCAAATTAACATAGTTAATGTAATAAATATAGGATTTATTTAATTTTGAAGGCAGTAACTATTTCATTAGATTTTGCTGTTCAGATGAGTATTTTCAAAGGCTCCAAGACTGTGCAACTTACTGCTAATATTCCATTTATTTGCTGCTGTTAAAATAAACATTTTGATAACTCCTGCTTCTTGTGGTTGACTCATAAATACTCATAGAAGATTAATTTTATAACACTCTAATATTAGCACTGGATACCTTCCAAGACACTAAAAAAAACTCTTTCCTCTGTTCACTGCCTTTTAAGCTATAGACTGAGAAGTCCCATAACCAAGAGAATAAAATACATATTAATATATTTATTCTAAAAGAACTATTTTATGTTGAATTGATAGTTGTTAATTTCAAACCCTTTTTATTGTCATCTTCTATCCTTGCCAAGCCTCTGTTTTAAAAGCAGCTTTCACATTTATGAATTAAACCATGATTAGAGAGAATGAAAGATTATGACACACGTGTGAAGCATGACAAGCTACTGAGAATGAAAATTAAATGATAAAAGAAAAATAACAGGAAAGAAGACACTTACTCTGGTGTTTGCATGTTTCTCTTTTCCCTAAAAACAAAACAAAATTTATGAATTAAATAATAGCATTGATAGTTGGAACATTAAATCTACCTGATGATGAAAATAGTACATGATGTGGAAATGCTGACAATGTTACTGCTAAATGCAACTTGGCAGCATTTGCAACCGAGTTTATGACAAGGCGTTGATGAACGCACATATAAAGACGTGATACTGATGACAGACACACACACACGCACAGAAATGAAAGTTGCAAGTTAAAGAACGAGCTTCTGGCTAAAATAAATTCTGTGACAAAATGAAATTGTAGTTTGTGTAAGAAATGGGAGGAATAACGTTACTTGCTGCTTTCCTTTTATGTTATTCTCTTGTATATAATACGTCTAAATTCAGTTCACATCCTCAACCAGATTTAATTTATTAAAGTTAACATCTTAGAAATTACTTAATATTATCCTGAATCAATGATCCCTTATTATTTTATTTGTTTGGGGGAAAGGGGTTGGTGGGTATGTGGAAAATTTTAACCCTTTTAACTAGAACAATTAAAGTCCCTATAGCCACGCTCCTGGAAATTACTATAGGCAGTTAGATGAAAAATAGTTCATTATTTTAATTAGATGTCTTTTAGCCTGGTTTAAATTTTTCTCTGAACTGAACAGAGTTCTTCTAACAAATAGTTTTCTATGCATTATATTCTTACAAAAATCCACAGTTACTTATTAGCATGTTAAAGTACTCACACTCCTTCCCGTCGGCAGCACATGATATAGGCAAGTATTAGAAAAAGCACCAGTGCTATTGCCGAGGGCACCGCCAATGTAATTAGGAAATCCGAGTAATAGTCTCTGCTTTTCAGTGTATCAGAAGGTGGTTTGTATTCTCCACCATCAGGTAATATTCCCTCTCCACGGATCACTTCCTGAAAGGTGGAAACTTGTTTTGTATTGTCAACCTGATACCCAGAAGGGGGGAGAAAAAAAAAAAAAGACAATAATATAACAAATTAATACAAATTAATAGGGTGTAAAAACAGAAAGCATTTAACCATGACATAGAAAAGAATCGATATTATACAATATCTGACAAATTCTATAAAATTGTGTCCAACCATTACATTTTTTTTTTAACCAATAAAACCTCATACTTCTTTGAAAGTAATATTATAACATTGTTCCAATTTTACTTTATTTGATGCCTACTAGTGATGCTATGTTTTTTACAGATTAATTTTAGGTATGTCTTGCATAAATAGTATTTGAGTAAAAAGGTGGCCCATTTTTACTGCAAACTAATTTGATACTGATTTCTTTTTGATGAATTCATCCACTTCTTACTGGTCTTCCTAAATAACAATACTGCCCTCTCTTTATGAAGTTGGTAGAGATCAATAGCAGAGTACCTACAAAGTGTCTTCCAGTTACTGTCCCTATCAAAGACCTAGTGCTCAAGAGGCCAGAGGCATTAACTGAGCTATTGCACCGAACAGCTCTGTTGCCTTCTGCCACGGACCCGATGCAGGAAGCACTGCACCATGAGATGGGTTATCATTTAGCTGATCAGATCCAGTTTTCCAAGGTTCTTCCACCTCCAAATTCAACTAACCTCTAGAAGACTGCATTCCTGGCCATGAGTATTTTTTTTTAAATGTCTGTATCTTGTTCCTAGAAATACAGCTTTCTTTTTTGTTATTGATTTTCATATTGCGTTTAAGCAACTGGCTGTCTTTCCCACATGACTTTCAAATTTTATACCTTCATTTTCTTGTTATTTCTTTCAGTTAGATATTCCTGGTAAATTTGATCTGTTATTTTTAAAACTGTCTCCAGATTATTAATGAAAATAAATTGTATTTGTCTGTATGCTTGAGCTCCTGCCTGAACTTTAATTGAGAAGTCTTGCAAGTGATGGTTATTTTTCTATAATGTACACTTTAATTCATGGGCTGGTACATTAGAACTTATGCAGTGACTGAAAAGGTTTTTACTGAAAAGATTTAGAAAGAATAGCTTTGCTGAGCCTCAAACGCCTGTATTTTTAAGTACAGGATGGTTGACAAAAATTAATTTAGTATTCTCCACTTATTAAGTGCTGAAGTATATTTTAGGTTAAGCACACTGAATTCCACTTGGCTACCTAGTGGAATCTCAAGCCTTAGCTATATGCACAAGAAAGATTTAGGCATTTACTAATGTGACTGACAAAAGCTCATACACAGAGCGAGAATAAGCTATCCAACAACAGCACTAAGAGTATATTAGGTCGCACCTCCTTTCAGGATTTGGGACCCACAAACCTAAATCCACTCATTGATTTAGGTGTTAACTGCCAAAATCCCCTCATAAAAAGCAGGAGAAAGAAGGTAAGATGGTTGTATTTTCACTCACTGGTCTATGTTGTGGTTATAGGAAATGGAGCTCAGCGCTCTCTCTCTTTCTCTCTCTAAAAAAAGCCCCCTGCTCCCCCCCCCCCCCCCCCCAATCCACAGATCTTGTGGGACTCCCTGCCCCTCGCTTTGCCTTGTGAAAAGCAGACTTTGGTTAGATGGAGGGAAGCTTGGCTCCGTTTTCCCTTTTATCCACCAGCTTACAGCATGCAGCGATGATGCGGTTGGCAGCAGTAAACACCCCTAAGACTGTTTAAATTCAGTTATTACAGCAGGCTGCCAAAACAAGTGCTGAGTTCAGGAAGGGAGAGGATTGCATTCTAGGCTGCCAAACTGCAAGAAAAACTACACTTCTCTCAGACGGTCTGTTGCTGTTGCACATCCCAGGGTGACCTCTGCTTTTCTCCAAACAGCATGACATTGCTGCTTCACGATCAGTTTATGAGACACTCTTAATGTCAGACCTTTTTTTTGGAGAGAGACTTCTAACCAGTTGCTTCTCATTCTGCATGTGTATCGTTGATTATTCTTGCATTAGTGAACTATTCCTCCACTTCTTTTGAAATTCATAATGTTTTTAAGGCTATTTCTCCAGTTTCTCAAGATCTTTCTGAATTCTGATCTTGTCCTTTAATGTATTTGCAGTTCCTTTCCATTTCATGGGGCCTGCAAATTTAATTTAGTAAGCACATTCCATCACCCAGCTTATTAATGAATAATGGCAGGGAATTATTAATAATTCTGCTTTGATTATGGCTATCCAACCAGTTTTGCACTACGTCCATGACAGTTTCATCTAGGTCATGTTTCTCAAGCTTACTTATGAGACATTATGAAAAGACTGTGCCAAAAAAGAAATGATATCTGCTCCTGGATTTCCCTACTCCTGTCTTATAGAAGGAAATACATGACTTGACATAATCTGTTCTTGACAAAGGCTAACTGCCACTCAGCCTTCTATTATTTTTCAGGGGCTTATAAATACAAATGTGGGCACCTTTTGCAATTTCTTAACAGAAAGCCAAAAAATGGTAAATAATCTGGATATTCTTTCAAAAACAAGTATCATTTTCCAGCTTTCAAATAGCTTTCCTAATTCACAGTGTATGAAAAGAAACAGTTGGAGGTTAACTAACGGACTGTGTAGATGAATATCAATTTTGATATTCAACACTTTTTTACATTATTTAAAAACCTTTCATCATATCTCCCTTTCACTGTCCTCTTGGCTAATATCTGAAAAATCATCTAAGAAGTTTATTTTATGTACCTTCATCATCTTTATTCAAAGTTACCTGCAATGTTCTCTTTCAGTACTATATCAGTTCCTGATTTTCCTACTCAAAATTAGACAAAAATAAACTCTAAAAGCTTATTTGTGGATTATATTCCTTCCCCAGCAAATAGTATTGTTTTCAGTAATCATTTTTTCTTACATTTAACTGACTTGAGAAAAATGTTCCAATGTATTTTGATATCATTAGTCAATACAATTTTATTTTCTTTTTCTGCTTCCTTTTTAACATGAAATATGTTTTAGACAATTTTCAGAAAGACTTTTAGGAACACAGAAATAGTGTTTTAACTACTCAGTTCTGTAGACTCAATATTTGAGAAAATATGTATGTGTATATACTTTTTAAGAAACCAAGTACAATGAGCATTATTAGCACGCTGAATTAATTAACTACGCTTACCTAAATAATTCTCTTTTAGCTCTGTAAGCCCTAGAGTTCTTTAGCCATTTATATCAATCGTCACTAGTGAACATGAATTTGGTGGTTTCACTGTTGGCCAGTTCTAGTAGAATTCAGCCCGCATAGCAAAATCCTTTCACAATCTTAGCAGCTTCTGCTAAATGGAGAACAATGTCTGATCAGTCACAATGAAGTGGAATTTAGCAAAATTGTTTTCGGCAGGCTGGTAAAACTGTTGCCTAAATAACGTCTGGTACGAAATAATTTATTTCTGCAAACATCATTTTCTTATTATTTTCTTCTATAATAAAATAACTCACCAAAGAGATTTTACACCAGTCAATATGGAATTGAGTACGAAATTTTTTATCGCAGGTTATTAAAGGTTCCATTTCTTGACTGCATCTCAGCTGATTTTGTGGGTTTTCAACTTCTCGTAAGCATGAAGAGAATGGAACATCTGCACCGACCATAACATACACACTGCAGAAAGAGAGGCGTGACAGACTGTCAGGATAACTGCTCACAAATGCCCAAGGCACAGTGATGTACTCTTCCAAAGATTATTATTGTTCACAGTAACAGTCAGGGGTGTTTTAAAGACTGAATTTTTTTCTTCTTGAGAGTATACATCATCTAAGCATAGGAATCGAATGGATTTTTCTAGCTACTTATTAGAACTTATTCTGGCTGCATAACATAAAGTTTGCTTAACATTAGAGTTGTCAATTTCTAGAAAGTCATAGAGCTCCAAGTATAGGTTCCGCACGTAAATAAATCAGTATTACTTTTGAAAATCACGTTAAAAGAGCAAGATTTTATCTCAAGGAAATCTTCAGTTTCACTCAGCACAGTATTGTTAAAGCATCTCTTCCTAGGTTTCCACAAAAAAATTATGAAGACTAATATTTCTAAGCTTAATACTAATATGAACCTTCCAGAGTCTCCAGTCTCTCCTGAAAGATTCTATACTGTAGCTATGCACTGCCAACAACATTTGCAGAATACTGAAAGCCGAATGTAAACAAAATACTTAATTTATCATTATAATAAATAAAGTAAGGGCTATTAAACTGATTGTATTATTCATTTTCATACTCAAATATGTAGGATGCTGCTGAAAAGATACATTCTGCTGCAGCAGATAATACTGCATCAATGGATCCTAAAACAGAAATTAAGTCCTGGTTGCCATTTGGCGGGGTAAGGCATTATCTGACTAAATGTTTAAACAAAATTCAGATATAAATCTACTTAGCCACTTGCATTAGTATGGTGCTTGTAGTACAGAGTATCATTGGCAAAGTTGTCTTCCCTCTTTAGATGATGTTTTCAGAAACATCAAATACCCAAAAGGGCTTTGAAACAACAATCTTCTCTGCACAGCCCTCCGTACATCTTGGATTTAGAACCCTCAACACTTTCCTTAGCTATTATTTGACCCCAAAATATCTAAAAATCACTAGACATATTTATTTTTCCTAGGGAAAAGCACTACCATAACCATATTTTGAAAAGACTACATCCTAATTAGTTTCACAATGAAGTATCATATTTCGGAACAGAATTAGTGGTTATGAATCACAATTGGAAACAGGGAATTCCTGCAGTTCACACTCAGTAATGTAAATTCCCTGGATATCTCAGCTTATCACTTCCAACTGTCCACAGTGCTCTTAAAGCACATAACTAGGGATCACAAACTGTACTAAGAGTACAACTACAAATGATACTGCTGAATGCTAAATCCTCTTAGAAATCTGAGTGACTTTGTAACCTATGCTCTGCTACGTTGTTTCAAAATCTTGAGATTTATGAATTGAGTACTGATGAATACTCAAAAGTATGCCAAACCACTGCTCAGAAGTAAGACTGGGATTACAAAATAAATGTATTTACCTATCAACTGTTTTGTAATTAATGACATTTATTAGTATTGGATTGTAAAATCAAGGTATAGGAACTGTAGCTTGTTGAAATGGTATGTAACACAATAAACTCATGGTATAATAAGGGCTTTCAACATCAGCGCACTTTCAAAATTTAATACCAACCTGGATTTCAAAATATAAAGTAGTAATTTCAAAGTTTCTAGAAAGCCTGGAAAAATAGTGAGCATTTCAGTAAGACCTTATTTGAACTGACAGAAAGACAAAAATAAAAGTATTAGACTGAAATGTGCTTACCCCTCTTTCATATCATTAATAGGAAGTGGAACTCTCCCTCCCCTGTCTAGTGCTGAAGTAATGTTTATCGCATTCAAACGCTCTGGCTGCCATACATTTTTCACCGCTCCAAGAAAGTCTCCAAGAACTTCACTTGCTAACATTTCTTCTACATTCATATTCCTTATGAAGAACTCCGCTTGATACGGTAAAGGAAAATCTAGTCGCAAAGAAGAAAGAGTATTGCCTTTAATGAAGACTTCATAACAGAATATTTAAATTAATGATTAATTCAATACCACCTTAAGAGTGATATCCCTTTCCAAAAACCTTCTTATTTAAATTAGCTCACTTTGAACCTAATCTGATCATGTTTGTTTAATCAAACATTGTTAGTACCATTAGCTATTATTTAAGCTGAAAGCCATTGGCAATTTATGAAGCAAATGGGAGATGAGGAAGGGAACTGGAGAATGAGATTCGCAGCTGGTGAATCTTCATTAAAAGCAGTGACAACAGATTCCAGCTTGCAATGATCTAGACACTGATCTGAGACGCTGCAATGATGCAAATTCAAAAGGCTGCAATTTCAGGTTGAACCTGAAGATGACAACATACTCCCCTGAAAAATTCACGTTAGCTTCCTGACTAAGTTAATTACTTACCTGACCATGTAAATCCAACATTCAGAAATTGTCCCCATTGACAAGCAAAACAGTGCGCTACATTTTGAGACATATCAATGCTTTGGTGTTCTTAAATTGCCATACTGTTTTCAGATACGAACTATGAGTTATTTGCTATCTGCTTAACAGAGAAACAACTCCTCTTTCTCTCTAGCTAAGCCTCTCTGCTTCCTGTACTAACCCCACTATTTGTTTGACTCTTCACTGAACTGATTTAACTCACTAAAATAGCAAAAAAACCATTCACTTTACTGCTGAGGTGGTTTTTGTACTTTACTGAATAAATCTGGCTCACTGAGAGGTGTAATGAGCACCAGAGCCAACAAAATGTGAGTGCAGCATGCAGAAGAAGGAGGACTTGAGATAGGGAAGCAGGACCTCCATGTTTTAAGAAGCAATAGGGAGGCGTTATAACTGTTCATTGCATCTCATTAAGGTCTTTGCGTGGGCTTACTTAATTCCACATAATTCAATATAAGTAAGAAGTAGTTCACTACAATTTTTTATAATTCATTTTCTACTATTAGCAATATATACAAAGAAATACACAGGTATGCATATATACCTATACAATATACACGTAGCAGTTAAAATAGAAAGCATATAGTGGTATGCCATACTCTTACTTCAAATATAAAATAAATGTACTTTCAATTACAAAGAAATAGTATACATTTACTTCCAGCTGTATACTGTAAACGCTATCAAGAGAACTAATTTTAAGGACACAAACTATTCAGATTTACTTTTTAAAGGAAACCTCCACATAAGTCATAAACAGTTGTCTTCTAAATCTGCCATGATAGGGAATGATAATTATAAATTCAGCTTTGTAATGTAATCTAGCAAAACATGCACTGCCTCTCAGGCTTATTATGGGAAAAGAAAATTTTCTCTTTTGGTGATCTATCAGAAATTGTCCTTTGTGCATTGTAGGAATATAGCAATAAACTGGGTAGAAAAATTAACAAGGAATAATCAAGATAAAAGTATGCATGTTTCTCTGAAAATTTACAGAATCATGACTTAAACCTGAAGCTAGGAGTATTTTACTTCTGTTTCACCAATGCCCTTAGACATGCACCCAACATTAAGCAATGTATAATTCCACTACAGTTTATGTAGTTACTTAAATGCATAAAATGAAATATGTATTTACATGCACTGCTAGACTGAGGCCAAAATACTCACCTATCAAAAAAACTGGCCATTAATAAGATTTTTAAGAGAGAGCAATGTAAGTGCTTGTTGGTAACTTTTTTCCCCCCAGTGGGACATATGCCTTGCAAAGGGAAGTACAACACTTAAGGTGTATACAGTATGGTATTAATATGAATGGGAGACAACCAGAATTTGTGGAAAAAATGATTTCTACAAAAAAAAATATCATTTTATACAATCATTTTTATATATTCACTAGTTTTGAAGTTAATCGAAATATTTTGTCTCTTCTTCATGACTTTTGCAAATTATTTTAACAATTAAGACAATGAATATTTCAGATCTGATGTTGAAAAATACTATTAAAAAAAAGATTATTTTTCCCCAGACTTAAACATTGGGCTTGTGTCAGATTTGAAGAAGAGTTTCAGCTGAAAAAAAATGTTTGACTGGCACAGTCTCCAGAAGAAGCCATACCTGCAAACATTATATGAAAACTGACAAAGCAGAAAACCTGCCATCAGAAAATTAGAATACAGGGTTTTAACTGCAGGATTCCTACGGAAAGTCTGTAACACGTAAAATAAATATGTAATAGCAAGTGAAAAAACCCCCCAGGCCATTGTAAAGCAGTTTGCTAGTGGCCTTCCTATCTTGTGTGTATTGTTTTGTGTACCTATGGAATACCCAGCTGATGCACAATTTAACTCTTACACTCCTTTCTAATCAATCTTGATTATTGCTTATCTTTTCTGATTCAAATCCACTGTATCAAATAAGAGTGTCAGCAGCACCACATGTCAGCACCAGCACCTCTGCTGCTCAAGATTTATGACAATATAAGAGAAACGCAGTATTTGGATAATTTAGTCAGAATTGTTCTTAGATGTCAAAAGAAATAGACGTTACAAATGGTCTGATACACAGGGCAAGCTGAATATTTAAGGTCACTGCTGTCCTGAAGCATTATATATTATGAAATTCATTCTCTCATGAAGACATTCAAAATGCATATTCGTGCCTTATGATACCATTTCAGAATACCAGCTCTGCTACTGCTGATGACATATTTCGACAGCTCAATTTATTTCAACGGAGCAATACCCATTTATGCTACTGGGGAATGCGCGCCACTGTCTGTAAATTTTTCAGAAGTTTTTCATCCTCTGCTTGAAAAATCTAATCTCAAATTTACTAAGAGAGATGAAAAACAGTAGCATGTTATTGCTGAAATCTTTGTCCTTCAACATCAACACTAGATGCCCTTCTAAAATGCACTTATAATTACTCTTTGCATAAAGAAAACCAAACCAACCAACCAACATGCAGAGAGTGAGGAAAAATCCTTTGCATAAGGTTCATTTGAAAACATAAACCATTTTTGCAAATTATTTCCAAAAAAGTAAACATCTTTATGAATAAGAGATGATAGTCTTACCTGACAGAAATAATTTAGCTAAATATAACAAACTGAATCAAAAATAGGGAAAATACTCTTACTTTCTCTTTGTGTCCCTGTACTTGGCTTGAATACAGGACAACAATTTCACAGTATTTTATGTCTTAAAAGAACAGGAGCCATAAGATTTTTTTGCTTATACAGTTTAAATGGAACAAGTTCTTTCTGTACATACCTTCTGCTGACATTATATTAATGATCAAATTATGTCTTGCTGTCTCAAAAGTTCGCCTGTTATACGCAGTGATCTAGAGTGAAAAAGATATGATAGCAAAACAACAATGCAAATATTAAAATCAAGTCTACAAAACATTAAAATAATGAAAATTAAATTGATAATTTAAAAATATTTTGACTTTTGAAGTGTTTTGCCTCCTTTTTTGAAAGGTATCCATTCATCAATGTAACATTTGAAAGATAAAACATATGTATTTGATACATTACTACCTTCAAGTCAGCATACTGGATTTTTATCTATGATTCTATACCTAAATATAGTTATGCACGGGATATTTGTGAATGTAATATATTTTGATCCAGAAACAAGTATTCTGCCATACATGTGTATTCTTTTTTCTTATTTTTGATTTAGAAACACCATTAACAGAGATGGGTTTCTCCATTTCACTTCCTGTCCCCCAGCCTCTCACTCTAAGGCTACAGGGTCTACATTCATTGACAGCTCCCAGGGAGCTAAACTAAATAGGGATATTTAAAGGACAGATTATTGGGATTCCAGCAATTATCATCTTTGGGATAGGGATTTAGATGTAGTTCTAGCCACAGTCAAGTCATACTCCATAAATGGATTCATAAGCTTTACTCCAACATAAGTTGTTTAAAAAAAAAAAACAAAACAAAACTGGAATCTGTAACTGTACTGGGTAGATGCAGCATTTATGCCTCATATTTTTGGGAACTTATGCCATTGCTGCTCAAATTATGCAAGGATACGCAGGTATGGAAGGCCTAAAATGCTCACAAGTGTCAAAAAGTCCTCAGTGGTTACTGCACGACTATACTCAGAAGTTATAATTACATGCCCATTCATAAGAAATATGGAATGAGGCTAGTTATCAGTATTATCACCTCTTTAATTCCTGAAAGGTAATGAACATTTCACAAAATAAATAAAAACCAAACTACCTTTCTCCCTGAGTTTACGATTTAGTTCACTCATTTCAGTGACAGAAGACAGGCAAACCAGTGGCTATAGTGACAAAACTATGTTGCTTCTCAGTAAACAGTGCTGCAAAATATTGTGAGATTGATTATTAAACAAGCAGGAGTAACAAATGTTTCACTTCTTTAAAGGGATTTAAATTAAGAAGGAGGATGTTTTGAATATCTGTTGCAGGCCTAATTCGCTAGTTGTCCAAGGCCTACACCAGAACATGCCATTACCCATTTTGAGTGTGCAGTCCGACACTGGGAGTTGCTAGTGTGGACCCTATGCCTGCACCAAGTAAGAGTGACAATGGTGGAGACTGCCTCTGTATTGAATGAATTGTACTTGCACTGCTTTCAAAGGAGCTTGTGCCCAAGAACGTGACCCACTCTACTGCTGTGCTATCCAACGTGAGGCCCTTCGAATCGTGAGCTCTCCTCCAGCTAATTCTCCTGCTCATCACATCAACTCAGACATCAGGCCAGAATGAAAGTTAGATTCAGATCAAGAACATATGATCATTCCTTTCACAGGGCACTTGGAGGTGGACCAAATGCAATTTTTCTTCCTTTCATACTATGGATTAATTAAAAAGCCACATCTGAGAAGAAGTTTGCAATGAATGATATGTACGCTAGGCAAGACTTAATTCAAACATAGGCTTGGGCTCACGCTTAGAATGGAGGTCTAGATGCAGGTCCCAGATTCTTGAACCAAATGCCATTTAATAAAGGGCAATTTAAAACAGCTGTTTCCTCTGCAGAAAGCTACGCAGAGAAAAACTGAAATCAAAAATGAATCATGTAGATAAAATTAAGCACGGGTGAAATTATCTGCAGGATAACTTAACATTTAGAGATATCTTTCCGAGGAAGGACAACTATATCAAATACAATTTAGAGAAAAAAACTCAAAGAGTTTAAGACAAACGTGTTGCTGTTGAAGCAAAATGATTGGAGTAAGTTAACTAGCAGGTTTTCCTTAACAGTAAACTAGAGAGTATCTGATTCAGTCTGCTATGACATGCATGACGGGAAATACAGCCCTTTCTCCTTTTCAATTGCTGCTCACTGAATAATTGGTGCTTTTAAACATTTGGATAGCTAATTGTCAAAAATAAAGAGTGGTTTTTGTCAGTACTACAACTATAAGAATAGAATTAAATATCTAAAAGTGCTAATTAAAATAAAATCTATCAGTAAACATGAAAAATAAACCAGAGGATATTTGATGAAAAGTACATTTAAATTAAAAATAATATTTAAAAAACTGTTTATTGGATAAACACTGTATTTTCCAGCAGAGAAAATCTGGCCTGTTTTCAGGGTAGAATGTTACAAAGTTCAGAATTCAGATAGTCATCAAGTATAGTTGTTCACACAGGTTTTTTTGCTCTATGTTTTGAATAAAATTTTAATATATTCATAGTTTACTGAAATGAAATGTCTCTTAGAAGGAGGAAAGGCAAGAATCTAAAGGTATTGTATCTAAGTATATTAAGCTAAATTGGTTATTTCTATGTACTGGTTATAACCTTAAAGAGTTACATATGAAACGCGATATAACTTGGCTTCCTCTTAAAAGATGGTGCCTTAGAGAAAATGTTAATGTCATAAGTTCCTGCCTCAAAATCTTTTATTTTCATTGTAATTAACTTTTAAAAAACAAGAGACAGTACTTTTTGACAATTCAAAATCTTATATTCTAAAACAAATCTTTCTGAATTTTTGAAGGAAAATACCTCAATGATGGTTGGTTTGCCCACATTTTCTATAGTTGGCGAACCATATAACACTCCATCACTGTATGGTGTCCTTTGTATGTAGCGTAGCCATCCAGGTCTGTCAGGGTAACCCATTAAGTTGGTATTAAATGTTATAGGATCATTACTTATTTCACCTAGATAAGACAAATAATATTAGAATATTTACAGGAAAATGCTATACACTTTGATGCTGATGTTTCTATTAAGTAATCTCATTCTGACTTTCAGTTACGTCCTTTAAACATTTCCAAGGTAGAGGGGGGAATTGCTAATCATTCCTTTCTGAGAAATACGTGAATTCTTACTCACTCAGCACTTGTAAACATTACAAAATTTGTACCTGAAATACGTAACCAATTGCAGAGGGGAATGTGCTTGTACTTGCACTCATTAGCTAGGGGGTCTGACTTTTAGAGCTCAGTTCCACTTAGAACTGAATCACCAAACCTCCTTACTGACAAAAGCACAAGGACCTCAGTCCTTTAACCCCCAACAAAGTGTTTTCATTTTTTTCAGGGCTCTACAGACCAATCTATCTGGGAGGGCTAGCTGTGAAGAGTGGTGGGGTAATCATCAATATCTGGATGCTTCTAGTCTCATCAAGATATATTGGTCTTCAGTACAGACAGCCTGGCAGTTGATCTGCTTTAGAGAATAAACTAATTCAAAAAAAATACCCGACATTCCTGCAAAATGGATCCATTGATGGGTATAAGTACAGTGATCCAGCTGCAACCTTTAAGAGCCCCTAAAATCAGAAAAAGTTCTTTTGTTCTTAGCGATAAGTTCAGATTTGACTTCAGCTTATTTAGCTTTCATAGCCAAAGTTGTTTTTTCCTAAACACTAAGAGACCCTCACTCTTGAAGAGTGAGCGCTTCACAGCTGAGGCACAGACCTCAGGAAGACGTCTCAGATGAAGATGACCGGCAGCCTGGCACAGAATGGACAAACTGAGCCCAGTGAAGAAAGAAACGCTGTCACCTCCTCCAGCAAGGACCAATTACAAAAAGACTGGGCTCTGTTGCCAAATGATAACAAGTTTTCAGGTGAACACTTACACATCTGGCTGCGGGTAGAGGAGACAAGGACTGAAGAAACAGCTACACTAAGCCAGCAACAAGGCATAACGCAACTTTTCTCAGAATTTTCTCAGGACACCACAGTAATCCGTGGCGCTCATAAACTTCCCAACATCACAAATTGATTTGGGAAAAAAAAAAAAATCTGAAAACCTCCCGGGCCACTTTATTTTGCCCTTCTTCAAAAGCAGCCATGACAATGACCCAGCAGAGCACATTTCTCAATTAACAGGTTAAAAATAAAAGAGCCATCCACATATTGTAATGTTTAGTTTTACAGCCAATTTCAGATATGATCACAACATGTCTATGGGTACAGCAATTTCAGCAGTATCTGAAATCACAGTGTGTGAATCAGATTCATACTGCATCAGAATCACATGGATGTGGAGACAGGCTGGGGTTGCAGTGACTTAAAAGATAATCTGTAATTAGGAAAACTTTCTGGTTCCTTTCATCTATGTGCCAAAGCTTCAAACAAAAGTGGGACAGAGGCAAACTTCACTATATTATTGGTTGTAGCTCTGCCAGTCACTGTTACATGAAACGAAGACCCGGGTAAGTAAAAACATCCATTTTTCAAACAGAGGATTAAAAAAACAAACAAAAAAAACCCCAGCTGTTCGTGCTCCTGACAACACTTAACTAAGAGTAACAGAAGCTTAATTTTTCTTTACAGTGAATTTCGAAGATGGTACTCTCAAATCAGTTCCAAAGCTTAATAATAAAACAATACTTTTTGATTATGCATGCACTATGCAGGTATTATAATTTTCCCCTGAAAGCTTTTCAATGTTGACAGGCAGAGGGGGCAAAATGTTCTCTTTCCTCTCTAGCTTGTTTATACATATTCTAACTTTCTAATGATCCACCCTTTTGGCTTTTACCTTAGTTGTAATTCAAAATACAATACTTAAGAAATCACAGCTCTTTCTCTGAAAATGAACGACTTGATAACATTAAACAGTTACTACACATATAGAGAAGACTGACTCCAAAGGAGCTTTTGTTTTCATTGAAAGAACACATCATCATATATTCTCATATTTAATTTTCTATTTTGTCCCACACTTACTCATGCTTTCAAAGTGCTCCTTCATATATACTATGTCTGAAATTGAAACAGCGTTCTAATAAGTGGCATTTTAAACAAAATTGTTACATAATAATGTTTTTCTAACATCACAGTTAAACTTCCACAGTTTCAGATTTAATGAGAAAGAGAAGAGGTACATTTTCTTATCTCAGATATACAGTGCACATTACGATGCCTTCTCAAATTAATAAGCACATATTTCAGAATACATAGAATTATATAACTTTTTAAAAATTATGATCACAAATCAGAAAATTTTAAATTGTAGGATCATCTACTTTATCTGAAGATATCTTGATAGAAACTAAACCTGCGCTTTGCACATTATATGCTGCACTGCAAAGTATGCTAAACAGATTTGAATTTTTTATACATTTTTTTCAATATTTTTATATAACATGGAAAATCTTAGTATCCCATACCAGGCTTTGGGTAAGGAGGAAACTCCCCCTTAAAGTACTCTCTCTCCAAAACATGAACAAAAAGAACTCCAGCAGAAGGGTACACATTCCGATCAGAGTGCACCTTAGACAGAATCGTGTACACTGAAAAGCAGAAGGAAAGATAAGAGACAGAAAAAAGCAAAAATGAGACATGCTCTAGATAATACAGCATGCATTTCAATAGAAATGTTGGCATCTGAGAAAAGGAAAGCAACAAATATTAGACACCTGTTAATAAGTTTTTTAAAAGGTTGCATGGATTTAAGAACAGAATGCAGAGCACATCCTCTTTTTGACTGTTAGGGTCCCTTCCAATATTTCAATAAACAAAACAGGCAACTTTAGAATTTCAGAAATTGTGCAAGTTAGTTATTTTTATTGCAATAACAATGAGGAAGTCAACTGTATTTTTATAGTTTGTTTATTTGCATTGTCACATATACCAACGAAAATACAGTAACTGAATGATACAATCAAACTTTCTCGATATTTAATAAAAAAACTAAGGAACATGAAGAATACAGAGGAATCTCACCAATGGTACTGATTCCTCACCCAACGGAAATGGCAGATTTTTCAGTACGAGTGCAGAGAAAGACAAAGCAATGCAATAAATATTTTTGCGTTTATGAAAATGCCTCACTGAATGCCTGTCAGAGAATGCTGCTGATGAGTTCTTATAGCTAGACTTTTTTAGAATAGGCGGGCTCAAACAACCTACATCCATGAGGTTTAAAATTTTGGTTAGAGAGCTCATTACTGAACATGCTGTGGTTGTGTTGAAACAGGATACACAAAATAATGGATAATTATAGGCCAGTCAGGTGATACTAACCCTAAACAAAAAATTGAAGCCAATGATAACAGGACTCCAAAATTAAAAAAAATAAAGGATAACTTAATTCAGAAAAATCAGCATATGTAAAAGCAATATGCTATTTTTATGCAATTACAATGTAGTTGATAAAGGCATACCTTATTCAGGTATAACACATTTGACACAGTATTACATACACATTTTAACAGATAAGGATAACACGAAAACCATTATGGCACATTAAATGGATAAGAATCGGCTTTATAGACAGGTTTCAAAATATAAGCATAAACAGAAAATACTGATTTGATAGGTGTGTCTCAGAGTCTCACAGGACTGATTCGTGGTCCTGTTACTATCCCATATTACTATTCAACTTTTTAAAATCAATGACCTGAAAGAATCAATCATTGCTGATAAAGTTTGTAAACAAAATGAAGATTTGAAAAATGGTAAATACAGATAAGTCACAGATACAGAGATACGCAGAGTTATCTGCCTTGCTTGCTAAGCCAAAAGGCACTTCATGAGCAGCCACATTCGGGGAACAAAGCTGACAGGCCATACCTGTAAAGGCAATATTGCCAGGTGGAACAAGGGCTCTGAAAGAGCCTGGGGAGGCATCTTAAACTCATGGCAACACATTCACAGCTCGTTGTACGTAGAAAGGCTAATTTCAACACTTTGATCCATAAGCAAGATACATTTGAAATGTGGATCAAGTTCATACAATCATCTTATCCTAGTATAATCTCTTTTCAGACTTGTCATTATACCAACCTTATTGTTTGAGATCTGCTTAAAAAGCGCTCTTCATTAGACATTAATCATGGACATTCCATCCCCTGGGCCACGCACACAGGGTGGAATCTATCTCACCTAATTTTAGATGCCTACAGAAACAACATCCACAACTGAATTAGTCAGGCTCCTTTTATAGTCAGTGGAGAGAAACAGACGCTTCTAGGGGTTGATTAATTGGATTTCTCTTGTAAAATGAGATGAATCATGTCCTACATTCCACCGACTACACTGACTAGATCTCCACTGGCTGTACAGGCAGCCTAGCTGAGTTGCAGACATCCGTAATGTAGACCTCCACGTTTAGTTATGGAAATCCCACTGTCTGGTCTGATCTTCTAAAATAAAAGTTTCAAATTCTCGATATACTATTGATCAAATTCCACAGCAGGAAAACTTCCACAAAATATCAGTGCCTCAGTGAAATAGTATTTTTCTAAGACACACACAAGACTCTCATTTTTCCAGCAAGATTCATTTGAATCAACAGGAAAACGCATTTATTTCTTACCTCTCATGCTAGACATCTAACATTATTTGTAACAGTAAAAAGATCCTGTCATCAGTCATACTAATGATCACTTGTTTATCTATGTAATGATCTGCTTATCAGAGTTGCTGTTTCCCTATTCTGAAAATGCTTTTGATATGGTACTGAACAGTACGTCTTTATAATAATTTTATCTTTGAGAACAAATTAAAATGGATCTTGAAATTTAAATACAATTTATTACAATTATTTGTGGTTAATAAACCAATTTATTTTAATTATGTAGACTTAATTTAACTACAATAACTTACAGCTATGTGATTTATATAATTAAAACAAGTAAGTTAACAGCCCCCAAAAGTTTTTTTTTTCACTTTTGTGAATGAGTTATAAATACAGGAAGGAAATCAATTAATTTTCCTTTAAAATACTTTCAAGAAAAGCTAAAAAAGTAATTTATAATATTAATAGAACTATTCACAGAGCAGAAAATCTGAGAAAAATAGTGTGGCTGGGTGAAGATGCATCAAGTTTCCAAAAAAATCCATTTTCCTGTTTCTGATGCCATGACTCTACAATGAAAATCAATTCAAATAGGAGAAATAGTGAAAAAGTATCATATATTTTCTCCATAAATAAGTTTTTGAAGGAAAAAAGATAATAGAATCAGCAGTTACTGAAGAAAAAAATTATTCTACAACCCACATATTTATTATGCCTTTTAAAGGAAATTTATTGGAAACCACTAAATGAGATGAGATGTAGCAATGAGATGTATTCTGTAGCTGAAGTAAGTACACTAATAAGGACTTCAGGCAGATATAAGACAGTGATCTTTGTGGAAGTTTAAAAATGCCTCTCAAAAGCAAAAAAAACCCCACAACCCTATTTTATTCTGTAATGATAAATACATTGTAATGACATGTAAAGTTCTCCCCCTTTGTCAAAGAAGCTTCTTTTTCCCCAATGGGGTTCCTTCAAAATTGGAAGAAAAATGATGAGCCTTCAGCCCACTACAGCAATCACTGCTTTTCAAGAATGAAATTATAAATGACATGCTATTTTCTTCAGGCTTTTAAAACCCACAATAATTTTCATAAGATTGCCCGAGACTGGAGGTGAATGTTTAATCATCTTAGGCGATCAAGGGATGAAATTGAATATACTTATCAACCTCTAGATATCAGTCTAATAAGGAAGACTGCCAAATGTGAATTGTCTCAGCAACTTCCCTGTGTAGATAAAATCTTGGGGACCTGCGAAAGGATTCTGTCCAGCTAACCACAGGACATTAAATTTCTTCACTAATGGTTGTATATAGGACCAGTAGAACCCTACTACAAAAACACAGTTTTGGCTACCTTGACAGCACTATTTTTCTTCCTTGTTTCCAGATCTCTTGGAGGATTCTCTGTAGATCCAAAGATCTACTTGTACAAAAAAGTTAGAAATTCTGGAGACTTGGGAAAGAAGTAGATAGATCGGGAACTAAAGACTGGGAAACACGCATCGCTCTTCTTGAAACACGTTGAGAAACTGTCCCAGTTGTCCCTCTTGTAATCTTGACCACCAGCACAGCCAAGAATTCAGCTGGAATTTTATCAGTGTCCAGCCCAGAGACTGTAAACAGCCACATGTTAGAGCTCATTTATCAGATAAAGATGAGCCCAGTCTCCAGAAATTTCAGAAGATTTCCTGTGTTGGTTGGAGTCTTGTGTGTTGATGGTCTTTCGAAAAAATCCACCCGGAAATTTTCTCTGGATATTTCAATTCTCTCCCCATTGATTTTTGTCAGAGGAAGCACAATCCCAGAAATAACTTGAGCTGGGGGCCCATCCAGATTGCTTACCACTCAGTATACAACAGCTACAATATTCTATGTATACTTTCACAAATGACAACCAAATAATCTTTCTGCATAGGTACATGGAACGGTTTTTAAAAATTGTTATAGAGAAGTTATTGTATTAAGCAAACCACAGAGGTATTTCCAAGCGACCAGCAGCGATAAGAAAATGTGCAGTATTAGGTTGTAAACACAGCCATTATTTGAAGCAAAGCCATGGCTGCAACAGAAAAAGTTGGGGAAAGCTCAAAGACACACAGGTCTGTGAATGTTTAAAAGACTGAAAAAATGCAAAGTTTTTCGAAATTACTTACCTTTAACTATCACCTTATTCCTAAAACAAGGACATGACTGAAAAAGCAAGAGTAATATTAAAAGCAGATTTGACTGAACCAACACGGCATTTAAATTTACAACCTAAACTCACCATTCTTCTCAACAGCCTGTATTCTGCTGATAATATAACTGTTGGCTTGCTTAGTCTTCCAGTTAACTGTTCCATTTATGCCATCAGCAGAGCTTAACAAAAAAGCTTTTCAAAATAAAATAAATGCAAAAGAAATTAGTCAGATCAACAGACTTCCACAAAACCAATGTCAGATGGGATTAGACGCCTTCTAAACTAGGTTTTGTTTTCAAGTTTTTTCCCCAGAGTTTAAGAACTTCAGTTTAAAAAACGATGGTATTTGATGTGAATACATAAAAATATAATAATCTTTCTGATAGTCACCCTTCTGACACTTATTTTCCAAACCAGCTAAGTTTACATTGAATATTTACACATTCGCAGAGGCTCCTGCTGATATAATTATACTGGTAAGGAACATGATAAAGAGCATTCTCTGATGAACATATTTGCACCGGCAAAACCTCACATACAGATAAGGACATACCTCAAGTTACTTTTACTGGCATAACTTATTTTGGCCAAAGTAGGGAACTTAAAACAGCCAAGCACACAGCTTTGCTTGTCTAAGGATGCAGACACGTGGGGCTGAGCATCTTGCCTTACAGGCACAACCAGTAATCAATTTGAAGAAAGAACCAGTTAAAAAATTGGTTATTTTCATCCCATTTAGCCAGATTCAGCTGTTTTGGACTGCGTTCAGCACAGCTGAAGGTGCAAGAAGTTTTAAGAGTGGTGAGGAGCAAGTGAGTATAGAAGATTCTGAAAGTAGCTCTTGTGCTGATAAAAAAGACTTGATTCCATCAGTAGCAGATGTGCCTGAAGAAGTTCCCTCTTCACCTCCCACTTTTTGTTCTTTTGTTCCCTTTCTTCCGTAATGAATGATACATCAGGTTCGTGTCAATTGAAAGTGCAGAGAGAAGGGGTTGCAGTAAGTGGCTAAGAAGAGGAGAACGGGCATAATAATTATAATCTTCTTTTAATATAGTTTGGGAGTAAGGAGAATTCATGTCAAACTCAAGCTAAAAGATGTTATCAACATCTTACCTTCCTTGTAAAAGTATCAACAAGTACAGCTACTAGCAAGCAGAACTTGCATTCAGACATACCATTTTGCAGGAAGAAACCAACACTGGCTGGCAAATACACACTCAAAATATACACAAGTGATACTCAAAATGATACAAGTATCATTTATGCTGGAAGCTTAAATATCTGTGGAAACTTTTGCTAGACTGCTTCTACCAGTCACCTACTACACTACTAGATATCACATTCTCTGGAAAGAATTTAGGAGGCCCAAAAGATCTGGCTTCAACAGCAGGTATGATACATAAATACTCAATGAGTGCATGCGAATGAGACATTTCTTAATGATAGTTACATTTGGCTTTGTGATTACTTCGGTTTGGAGAATTTACTCAAAACATCTAAAATTTAATTGTGGAGGAAATGTAACAAAAACAACAACAAAAAAGTCCTGAAATCACTACACAAGTATAAGGTTTCTGAAGTGTCAATTTCTGTTAAGCCTCTTCAAATTTTCAATATAGACAAAGGACCTGATTTAGCAAAAAGATATTATTCTCATCCACTGTTTTACATGTCTTGCATGATGGACAACTTTCTACCTACTGAATTTACTAACACTGAAAGCCTTGATACAACAGTGTCTTGTAGAAAATACAACTCAGCACTGTACATGACCTATAGTGTAAATTTTCAATAATTCTTGGAATACTACAGAAATTCCAAAGTTGTTCCAATATTTCAAAAGGATGAGCTATGTAATTAGAAGCTTGTCAGCCACAAACCAATCCCAAGCAAAACAACATAACAATTAATGTAAGACTTCATTAAAGAAGAATTAAATGAAGAGCAGTATTACACTTGGATAATCAACAAAGGTTTAATGCCTCTTTTCAAACTGACATTTTTGGTGAGCCCACAACTTTGATAAACATAGCGATACTGACATGTCACATTTAGACATACAGCGTATCATCAAGCACTTTGAGACAAACTAGATAGATACAAAATCATTTTAGAATATTTAAATGCAATAAAAAAGACAACTTGTTCCAAGATGTATTTTTCAATGTAAACCATCAGCAAGTGTCTTCGATTTGGGTTCTCAGGTTGTGCTAGGTTTAGCGGTGGGTTATAAACAGGTTACTGCTCCTCTCTCTACCCTATGCTGCAGGTCACATGGGAACTGACAAGGCAACCAGTGTATCTGTTATTCTAGTGTCAGAGCTTACAGTGTGATGTCCTAATATAAATATATATCACTATCTATTTGTGATATACATTATCACAAAATGAATGCAAAATGAAACAACTGAAAAATGAAAATGAAAAACTGAAAAATGCTGCAAAATGAAACAATTCAGGAACACACTGCCTATTTAGCAGCTTTCACCAAAGGAATGGCAGTGTGTGGTGCCAGACCACAGCAAGAGAATAGGGCTACTGCATAGTTAATTGTTATATCAGATTTCGAGCAGGCCTCACAAGGCTCAGCTCTTGGCCTTACGCAATTTAATTTTTTTTTTTGGTATGCAACAACCTAGAAATATAACATATACTGATAACATTTGCAAGTAAAAACAAAGGCTGGGAGATTCATAAATAATGGAGACAACAAGCCACTAACACAGAAGAGTCTGAGTTAGTTTGGTAAACTGAACATGATCAGTGATGTGCACTTCAATAGAGTAAAATGCAAATGCATATCCAGGAACAAAGAACGCATGCCATACTTACATTACGGAGCATGCAATTCAGAGAGATCAAACTTTGATAAAAGACTAGGGACATATGGTAGATAATAGTCAGTTGAACAGAAGCTTTCAACAGAAAGCCGTGGTTAGAATGGCTAATATGTAAACAGGAACATCAAGAAGGAGCAGGGAGACTTTACTTTTATATTTGACATACATATGATCACTTT